TGTATATCTATCTAGTGATAAGAGTTGAAGATTAATACTGATAGAATTATTCCCATTTTCGCAACACATTCAAGCAAGTTTGGGCAGCTTTAATGGGACCTTGTTGTACATTCTTAGCTTTACACAGTCCCAGTGCATTGCTGCTTAAGCTAGTGAAGATTTGAAGTGGTAAAATCTCTCAATTTCTTTATCTTGCTATAAATAACCACAGAGGAAGTACTCTCCTTCAAAGTATTTCTGATGTAAAGTCTTTCTCCTCTTATGCTCTGATGAGCAAGTAATTCAGAAGATAATCCTGTCACCTCCAACATCTTTATGCCAACAAAGTTCCCCAATGTAAGAAGAATTTCCTGAGCCGCAACTATAAAAATAACTTCCTGAGCTCTTCCAGTGATTTACTGTGTACTTTTACAGATGGGCATTAACAGCTCATCCCTGAAGCTGATGCTTGGCTCAGCGTTCACCTTGCATCTGTGATACTGTTGTCAGTGAACGTGTTTCAGTTGCACATGTACACATATACATCCAGTAAGACATATATATATATATATAAGCCAGACTTTTCAAAAGGAATAGCATAATTAATTGAATTAGTGTATCAACATTTTTAAAGGGACTTGATTTTCTCAGCACATAGGCAATACAATAGTTCAACATCCCTGAAAAACAGGTGTCAATTTTTTTACGTTTAAAAGTCCATACTTGCAAATTCTATTCTGCCTGTGCCTGAGAATTTGAACAGGTCGCCTGGTATATAATTGCATATTAGAGAACGCAACAAAGTACTCCTTTTTCCAGTCCATAATTAAATTTCTCATGAAACACAGATGTGTATTTTTAGCTTTTCAAACATCAAAGTATTCTGTATTATGTAATTTTCAAATTAACTCTGGCATATCAGTTAATGAAGTAATGTTTTGACTTTTAGTCTGGGCTCAAAACTTTCTTTGTAAATTTAAATTGTACCACCTCATATTGGAACTCATAAACACTTTTCTCTAATTACCTTCGTTGATATTCTTTGGCAGTTGAGTGCTCCAGTGCTGTTCATCTCTGCAAATCAGTGAATATTCATAGAATGGTGTCAGGATAAATACTTTAAAATACTCTTTGGAAGTAGAATGCAGAAAATAAGTCATAGATTGAAATAAATGGGATCAGAGATCAATAGCCCTCATAGTGGGGGAAAGCAAAAATAGTTATAATTATCCTAGATAACTTTTTTTGATGGTTTATGCATTTTTGATCTGTATGCTACTTCAGATGTGCAGGCTTTAAATAATAGTTTATATATGTCTACGAATATGCTTTTGATATTTTTTAACTAAGAGTAAGAACCACTAGGCACTAATGAAAGTCTTGTTTTAAGAATGCTAGCTCATTAAACCTGGGGGGTGTTGGTGACAGGTGCCTTGGTGTCTAAGAAAGTGAATCTTTTATGTCAGTTACCCAAACTGAGGCTTTAAAATGTTTTGTATCAACTGAGGATCACAGAACCCAGTTTGCAGGTGATAAGTGATGCGCTAAACTGGAAACCTGTGAAATGTATGAATAAATAAATAAAATGCCCTTGACGCATTGTTGCACAATGCCTTTAACAGCATTCGGTTAGGCACTTACTGACCTACATCTTCTGCAATTAAACAAAGTAAACAAATAATTGTCTAACTAAATAGGAAAAAAAAAAAATCACAGAAGACTCAATGCCACCTGTTAACTCTGTCTTTTCACTTAATGTCAGAGAAATGGTAGGTGATTTGAGAGGTGTGGCTTTTCCTGTATTCTTTATCTTCAGGTACCATAGAGGTGTTCTTGATCCTGGTGATATTCTATCTGAAAAAGATTTGGTCAGACCCAGTTTTAGCCATTATTGAATTTCTTAGCTATGTTGACAGTAATCTTGCAAAATACCTATTTTTTTCTCACATTGCTCTATGAACAGTTGCAGCCACACAGATGGTGGTCTTGCAAAGACTTATTTTAAGGAGGTGCTTCTCAACAATGAGAATGGGAGCCATAGAGGAATAAAAGCCAATGTTTTGCAAAACTGAATTTATAGCGTGAACTAAAAGTAGTATACACAATGTTGTGACACACATTCTCTTCCTGACTTCAAGAATATCGTACTTAAAGTTTTGGTTAGTTGGATTTTTGCAATACATTAAGATGCATAGTTTAGTATTGCCTTTATGGACCCGACAGCTAAATATTAAGAGAGATCTCAATAGTCTTGCTAAAGTTATTTCTAAGGAATGGAGTGCATTTAATACCAAATTTCTTTTTTGATGGCTGAATGAGTTAAGAATTCTTTCTTCTTATATTCTTCTGCTCACAGGGGTGTAGTCCTGGCTTTGCTGTTTATCCCAAAGAATCTCGATGTTGTTTTTCCACACACAGAGCCATCTATCAGACCAGAAGAGTAGGAATTGTATTCTCCTTCTCTAGATTTGAATGATTTGAGAAGTTGGAAGCACTAGGAGTTTTTGCTTCTGGGGACACTATGTGCAGTCAAGGAAATCCCAGCATTACAAATAGCTGGAGCAGGGAAATGTCATGTGTGTCCTATACTGTTTCTAAGGTAGCAGCTTTTGGTGAGTGTCAGAAGACAGGAGTGTGGGCTATAGTGAACTTTGTCCCAGCACAGCTGCTCTAATATCGTGTTAACCTCACTGCAGCTACCCAGCTAAGACTTCACCTAGTGAGTTAACAGATATAATACATGTGATATTTGCACAATCTGTTGTGCAAATTCATAGACTCATAGAATGGTTTGGGTTGGAAGGGACCTTAAAGATCCTCTAGTTCCAACCCCCCTGCCATGGGCAGGGACACCCTCCACTAGACCACGTTGCCCAAAGGCTCATCCAACCTGGTCTTAAACACTTCCAGGGATGGGGCATCCACAACCTCTCTGGGCAACCTGTTCCAGTGCCTCACCACCCTCACAGTGAAGAATTTCTTTCTAACATCTAATCTAAATCGACCCTCCTTCAGCTTGAACCCATTACCCCTTGTCCTGTCCCTACACTCCCTCATGAACAGTCCCTCTCCAGCTTTCCTGCAGGCCCCTTCAGATACTGATAAGCTGCAGTTAGATCTCCCCAGAGTCGCCTTTTCTCCAGGCTGAACAATCCCAACTCTCTCAGCCTGTCCTCATAGGAGAGGTGCTCCATCCCTCTGATCAGCTTCGTGGCCCTCCTCTGGACTTGCTCCAACAGGTCCATGTCCTTCTTATATTGGGCACCCCAGAGCTGAACACTGTACTCCAGCTGAGGTCTCACCAGAGCAGAGTTGAGGGGCAGGATCGCCTCCTTCGACCTGCTGGTCACACCTCTTTTGATGCAGCCCAGGACACGGTTGGCTTTCTGGGCTGCGAGCACACACTGCCGGCTCATGTTGAGCTTCTCATCAATCAACAATCCCAAGTTCTTCTCCTCGGGGCTGCTTTCAATCCATTCCTCACCCAGCCAATAGTCATGCTTGGGATTGTCCCAACCCACGTGCAGGACCTTGCACTTGGCCTTGTTGAACTTCATGCGGTTCGCACGGGCCCACCTCTCCAGCCTGTCAAGGTCCCTCTGGATGGCATCCCTTCCCTCCAGCGTGTCGACTGCACCACACAGCTTGGTGTCGTTGGCAAACTTGCTGAGGGTGCACTTGATCCCACTGTCCATGTCGCCGACAAAGATTCTGTCCAACCAACTACCACTGTTTTGAGAAGAGGATCAGTAAGAGGATTAGTAGAAATACATCAAAGAAGTGTTTCTTTCCTGTCTGAGGATCCTGCCCTCTCCTCAACTGAAATGAAGCAATAGCTCTATGCTTTTAAAATTATTACTGGAAGTTATATTTTACGTATTTGAGGCAGCTTTCAAAGAAAGGAACCATAATTGGCTCCTTTCCCAGGTTAGAATCTTTTCTTAAAAGGAAGTACGTTGTTTCTTAAATACAGTCAGTGGCTATTCTTTCTTATCACACGGTCCAGTTTTTCTTCTCTCATGTAATGCTTGAAACTTAATCACTCATTTTAGGTGTGGTGTTGCATCTCTTCACTGTGATAGATTTGTTTCTGACAAATTTTACAATTATATGGCTTCTATGGTTTCAAAGACTAGCTTCTGATTAACATATGGTTCAGTGGTTGGGTATCTGAGGCAGACACTTTATTAGCCTGCTTACACAGTGCACAAAAAAACTTACTGTTGCTGCTAACCTTCTCCTATAACATGCTCATAGACCTGAGATTTCCTGTTAGTATTTTTCTATTCACTGCCAGGTCACTGATTTCTGCAGAGAACTTTGCAGCCTTCCAAAGCACCAGTGCCATGACAGACTGAAGTGTTAAAGCAAAACTGTAAAACAAATATGCTGTTCTTCAAAGTCATAAAAATGGCATAGAAGGAAAAGAAACTGAATAAATAGGGTTTTCTTTCTTTATTTTCATTTTCCATGTTAAAACATTCTCTATCAAAATATTTGCTGACTTCTGAACTTGGAGCTTGATGTCAAGGATTGCCCTGAAGTCACTCAGAAAATAACTTTTTTTTTTTCTTTTCAGCAATAGCAGACCAGATAATAAAATGGTGACAAACGATGACAAAATCAGCCTGTCTCAGCTCAATTAAGTTTTATTGAAAATTGACTCTGCAAATATGCGGAGGACTAAAATTAACTGGTGAGGTATATTTAAAGGACTTTGTGTTAATTTAGCATCAGATGAGAACTGCAAGTAGTATCTCTGGCACTACAAAGTCCCATATTGTTGTGATTTCACCACTGTAAGAGTCAGGTCTAGATGCCGAATTCTCCTCGTATAGTCAGGAAGTGCTTTTCAGTTAGACCATCTGAAGATAAGTGATGAGAGTATTGGGCCCAGATATTCCATCAGCTTCCACTACAACTAATGACCTTGCTAGAGAGATGTTAATTTCTGGACTGTACCTGACATCTCTACTAATACTGCAATGGGGTTTTTTGTGTGTGATTGTACTGAATCATAGAAGGAAGACAGACTGGTGCTGAGAGACCTAAAAGTGTGGGCAGAACAATTTGAAAGAGACTTAGCCCGAGCACAGGTGGCAGAAACAAGCTTACAGGAGAAATACCAGGTAAGTAGTAGAGAAAATTTTGTACGATAAGACATTATTGTCATCGTTATGTGTAACGTGTACTGCAGTAGTTTATGCAATCTGTATATATGCAAGTGAATATACTGTAGTTTAAAGAAATAAGGACACAAACTGTCTTGCCTTTTATTGGTGGCAGAATTATAAAGTCAGCTCCAGCTTTGCCATGTAGAACAGTGCACAGATGGTTTGCCTAACACAGAGCTTTTTCTAGCAGTGTGAAGAAGGACTGTCCCAGTTAGAAGTGAGCATGTGTCTGTGCAGTCCTTCCAGATCCTGCGTGATATAGCTCAGATAGGAGGTATGACTGAAGGCTGGGTGAGGTGACAGGTGGAGAGGACAGGGCTTAGAGCTTCATTTTTCACCCCTTTCAGAGAGGTTAATGTCTAAATCGGCAATATAAATTTTGGCCCAAATTTTCTCCTGAAGCTTGGCTGTTCTCTAAAAGTAGTCACTGTCTGCCCCAGGTAGCATTTAATCCATTTGATAGTTTAGCTGATCAATTATTATTTCTTTTCATATAGGGTTCAGGCATCTGATAACTGAAGGGAAATACAAAAGTCCTACCTATGTCTCCCTAGAGGATTCCACAGTCTGTTAAAGCCTTTCATAAAATGCATTTCAGTGTAAATATACAAGTTTACTGCTGCTCTCTTTAGGAAGGATTAGGACTTCTATCAGTACAAAATTGTTGTAGGTTGTAGTACTCCATAAATGTCTAAGAATTTCATTCTCTGACTCTGTACTACATTGATTTGATTTTCTCTTTCTGCAGTCATTTAAGCATTTCAGAGTACAATATGAGGTAAAAAGGAAACAGATTGAACTTGCAACCCAGTCATTAAGGAAAGATGGTAAATTATCACTTGATCAAGCTATGGTGAAGCAAGCATGGGACAGAGTTTCTTCCAGGGTAAGTTGAAAATTATTATTCTATATATTTTTTATTAAATGAAGGATGAGAATTTAAAATCATTTAGACTCCTATTTACTATTGATTTTATTAGGCATTAGAAACCTAAAAATGGACCAGATTTCTAGCCCTGTTTATTTTGTTTTGAGAACATTTACTGCACTATCTTCTTTAATATTGCTAAAATACAGAATATGAACTTTAAGAAAAGGACTATACTTTGAGGTTTCCCTTTATTTGAAAGTGTGTTAACAGTGCTTAGCCAAGTTCAAAAAAATGTTGATAAAAATAAAAACATGCACAATGCCCCTTCGAAATGCATTTTTTTAATGTAAATTGCTAGTTATCTGAGAAATTCTAATATAACATTTTTTAATATAACTAAAAAAAGTTTCTGTGTAATACTGAATACTTTATCTATAAATGAGGCTTTAATGCTATTTTTGACCTGGTAGCAATAGTAATAAATTAATATTAGTATTTGTAATCGTAATTTTTTAATAATTAAATGAAAAATCCTAAGCTAGTTATATTTTTTGTCCCAAATAAGAAGTTATTAAATCATTATTACTCAGTATATATTCATGGATTTTTTAAAATGTCATCTATTTAACAGAGGATCTGTTTAAAAATATTCTGGAGTTTTGACATAACTTTCATTATTTGTCATTCCTGTAACAGGGATTGCCAATAAGACATGGTATTTTACTGCTATGTTCTCAGTGCCACAGTCCTTTGAGACTCATAGAAAATATGTTCAAAATAGAGATAGAAAGATTTTATGCAAGAGCGTGAAATAAACTACATTGGGTGGAAGGTGGTCTCACCTGCCTTCCTGTGCTTATTAACTGATGAAATTCCAGATCTTTAGCTCGTCAGTTGTTCCAGTTTATATGTGGTCAGTTCTGTAACTCAGTTACCATTCTGGAAGGCAAATAGATGCATCAACGAATCCTTACAGAGATTTTGTTGCCTGTGAGAATGCTATAATTTCAGAACTAATGTGAAGTAATATACCTAGGTTTGCGTCTCAAACATACTCTGTTATGTGGGGCTTTGCTCTTACAGCATAAAGTCTGATTTTTCTCAAGATACTTGTTTGCATAATTAAGCAAGGAAGGAAGTTAAACCCTTTTACTTTTATTTCCTAGCTACTTGATTGGCACATACACCTTGATAAATCTCTTCCTGCACCTTTGGGTACCATAGGTGCTTGGCTCTATAGAGCAGAGGCTGCTCTGAGGGAAGAAGTAGCTATTCAGCAAGCTCATGAGGAAACAGCGAATACAATACACCGGAAGCTTGAGCAACATAAGGTAGATCTACATGCATTCATCTGTGCGTTATGTTGTATCATTTCCGAAGATGTAAATGACCCATACTATACAAAGAAAGATTATTATTTCTCGTTTCTGTGTGTGGTGCCATCTTGATGGTAGCTAAAGCTAGGTGTCTTTTAGTGATGACTTGAACTGTGTTATCTGTGTATTTTACAAGCAATATTCAAAATTGTGTTTGAATGTTCCTGCTTCTTCTATCTGAAAGATATCAGGCATTAACATTTTAATCGTTCCCCTATTCTAGGATTTATGTTGGATAAAATTCCATTGGGAGCTCATAAGTTGGGTACATTGTGCAACCGATATGAACTGATCAGGTGAAACAGGAGAAAGGGAGCAAACGTACTAAGTGCGCTAATAGTCAGTGCAGGTGATGTGCACTGGGGAAAAACACAGAATGAAGTGAATTTTCATAGTGTTGTGATGACAAATAGCATGAGAAGTCCCCTCTGCCGTGGTAAACACAAAACTTTGCCGGATGAATTTAAATACCTTTGCCATTACTCTTTACTGAGCCCAAGTTCTCATTTAAAATCAAAACTGTGAGGTTTGTCTGTGCATTTATGTAATATATATGAGAAAAATGCAGAAAGAAATTGTTGGTGAGATGATAAAAGAAACTGAACCAGTAAATATGATAGAGAAAGGAAAAAGATGGTTTAGAGAAAGGCTGTGGCAGTAAGGCTGTATTTTATATTGGTTTTTTTTTTTCTCTATTGCTAGTATTTTAAAACTTGATTGTAGCTTTGTTATTTTCTTGTGGTTTGGATATGGGTGGGTTTTTTTAATAAAAAGTAATGCCATATAATGAAAAGCTGATAAGTTTCATGGTCATCTTGGAACAGCTGTGACTGACGATGATAGTTTATCTGGAAGATCAGCTGGGTCTTCTGATTACTCTTTATTAGGACAGTGACAACTCTTCTAACAAGTGGAGGCTAATAAAATTTTATCAAAACAATATTAAAATCTATGGGGAAGACAGCATTTTCTTTCAAGGTCTAGTCTCTTGTAATGCTAAATTTCATTAGCTTTCTTGTTAACATCAAATGTTTCAAGATTCAAAAGATTTGACATTTGTTTAAAAAAAGCAAGTCAAACACTTTCTTGTTCTTATAAAGTGAGCACTACAGACCTCGTTTTGATACATTCATAAGAAACACAAAAGACTGTGTCCCAAACTCTGTTTTCTTTGCATCAGAAATGCTGTGGTGAGGGATTTCTATGCCAACAAATAAACTTTGATTTAGGTTAATCTGTGCCAGGGGAGTTTTCCCATGGGATTGGGATGGGGAAAGCTTCAAGAGAAGCATGTGTAATTATATCTGTTCCTGGAGCTTGTTTTGTCGCTCAGATTTGCATTGACGAGTCCTAATGTGCTATAGGATAGTGCCAGAAATGCATTAGTGGGGGGTTTTTGAGTCCTTGTTTCCTAGGAAGTTGCTGGGATTTGTTTGTTATGGTTTTGCTCAGATAACATCATCACTTTCTCTATATCTTTGTCTCATCTGACAATGGGTTATTTTAGTGAACTTTATAGCTTATGGCCATTTTCAAGCCAGTACAAACCACACCAGCTTATTTGGAGAAACCTTCATGGAATCAGGCAAGGACTTAAGTTTATTTTAATATAAATTGAATATTGCCACCAAGATCTAGAAATTAAGGACAACGTCTGTGCTTGTTGAAGGTTATTTTGCAGAGCAGGATTTCACTTTATGAGACACTATATAAAAGTTTTCATGGGTGTCCAGTTGATGTTGGATGAAACTACTGGGTTTTATTTTAACTTGCCAGTGCATGTTAGGGGCATCCCTTTTTCATCTGGCAAGATCTCAGATGCAGCTAGCTGAGATACTTGTTCCAAGTCTTTTATGTGAGAGCATGTTAGTCACAGAATACCCTCAGTGGAGTTTTTGCCATAGTAAAATCAGTGCATCACTTGCATCTGAGAAAGCCTAGCTCATTTCTCTTCACAACAAGGTGTTGGCTGAAGTGCCAATGCAAATATAGGTGGGTTGATGGGGATGGTGGGATCATTCGGTGAGCTGAGCCAGTGAATTACCATTCATTTCTGCTGTGCAAGTACTGGGCGTTGACTGGGGAGAAACCCTTCTTCAGCACATAGGAATAAATCGGCGTCTGTGATCAGTACACAAGCCTGCATTTTGTCCACCCAGGTGAGAAAGGAGGACCCTTGTATTATTGCTTTTGCTAATAGGCTTCTGACCACTTTGTGCCAGGACCTGTCTGTATGCGGTAAAATACCCACTGTTCTGTGTCCTCTCAGCCGCCAGGGACTTGATGTGTTATTGTTATCTGTCTGTATGCGGTAAAATACCCACTGTTCTATGTCCTCTCAGCCGCCGGGGACTTGATGTGTTATTGTTACGGTATCTCTTCAAAGACTACTGCCAGTCATTCATTTTAATATGTAATCTCCAGGAAGCCGTTTGGAGCGGTGTTGCTTAGTTACAGTTGAAATATGCTCTGCTGTAAGGTTTTTGCTGGTAGAATTCTTATCACAGGAACACAAGTCGGGTACCACATTCTGCATTCATTTGTGTAATATAGAGAGAATGATCCTGAAATCTTTTGATGTCGAGAGAGTGAAAAGTTCGCTAAATATTGAATATGTACTTAAATAAGGAGCTATGGATCTTCTGCCTATATATAGAAGAGTAGATTAGTTGCTGAAAAAATGAATCTATGCTATACATAAAGGTTAGTATCTGTTATAAAGATGTAAAGAGTAAATTTAGTAAGATTATGCTGTTGTGATGTTAGAGTATTCACAGACTGCATTTCAGGGATTATTTAATACAGTTAAAAGTTCTTGTTTTGTTTAACCTTTGCAGTGTATCCTCTGTTTTAAAATCTTCCATAATTGTTAGACACAGCTTTAGCAGAGCATCTTATAAGGGGCTTCCCTATGTAAATGTTCGAGTTGATGTAAATGCTTTTGTGGTATGCATAACCTTGCATGCAAATGCGAGAGCATGATCAAATAGTTAACTACATTGAGTCATCAGTGCAGGCTTAAAATTGTGCTTATTAGTTAGATAGCCTACTGTGAGCCTTCTCTCTCTCTCTCTCTCTGCCACTCTCCCCCTCTTCCCCCCCTCTCTCAATCTCTCTCTCTTAAAATCAAATCAGGATCTGCTGAAAAACATAGATGGTCACAAAAAAGCATTCCATGAGATCCACGGGGCCAGGTCTGTTAACGGAGTGCCTGTTCCACCTGACCAATTAGAGGATATGGCAGAGAGGTAAGGCTTTCAATCTGAGACAAAAATCCTCTGTGAATGAAACGGAACTTGTTTGCTTTTTTATCTGTTCATGTAGAAATCACTGCCTAATTGTGTTTCTCAGTGGCAAGCATGAAAATGTTGGAAGAAAAAACCTAGAATACACATAAAAATATACCAAAAAGCCTGATGCTTTAAAGATTGATGAGAAGCAAAATAAGATATGGGGTTTGGAAGGGAATACTTTTTTACATTGATCCTGTTATTACTTGTCCCTGGAAGAAATGTTATGTAACAACAGCTGAGATGCATGTGAAAAAAGAAAAGAAAAATGACTTTGCAAAACTTAGTAACAGATGTAAACTGATGATTTCCATGGATAAACAGAAATGTAATTAATTTGCTATTCAGGAGCAGTCATCAGAATGATCATCATTCATAATTAAATGTTTGTAGACTCTGAATTAGGTGAAAGATTAGAAAAATATCTGAACTGTAACTAAAGCTTACAGTCTGTCCTGTAAAAATGAATATTGTTGTATTTTACTACAGTGTGATTCATTTTATAGGTTTAATTTTGTTGTCTCTTCATCTGAGCTCCATCTGTTGAAGATGGAGTTTCTGGAACTGAAGTACCGTCTACTGTCACTCTTAGTCCTTGCAGAATCAAAGTTAAAATCATGGATTATCAAATATGGAAGGCGAGAGTCAGTGGAACTACTTCTTCAAAATTACATTGTAAGTTGGAGTTGTCATCTTTTTTTGTATATTTGCAAAATATTAATATTTAAGATTGCTGGAAATGAATATAAGAACAGAAACAGAAATGAGACTTGCCAGTCATCAACTTTATGACTGCATTATTATGGAATATCTTTTCAGAGGTGAATCTGTCTTCCCCATGGAGGAACTTTAGTCAAAAGCCTAAAAATGAAAATTATTCTCTTTGGGTCATCTCTTCAAAAACAGAAATAAGGTCCCAGCTGCTAACTGTCCAACCATCAACTTATCAAGCATATCTGGTGGTTCCAAATCCTACATTTTTACTTACCTTAGATAGCAATTCCAAAGAACTTAATTTCATCTTTTTTTAAAACTGCATAGATGCACTTTATAGTGACTATACACAGATTAAGTGTAGAGACAGAGGAGGTTTTTGGCATGCGGTCCCCCACAGTACTTTCTTTTAAAGTCTTCGAAATGAAGAAAAAAAAAAAAGTTATGCTGCCTCTGTGTATTAGTTCAATATATTGTACTGAAAGGGGAGTCATTGTATTCTTTTAAAGAATTATTTTTCTTTTCCTGGTCAGCATTAGTATATTAAACCTATTACTTTGTTTCTGTTCTGGAAAGAGATTGCTCCAGCATCCAATATATCATGTTAAGAAACAGAGGCTATTGACTTACAAATACTCATTTATATGTCCCCTTTCAGTCTTATGCTGCTGTATCTTGTTAAATCCACACTTGCTGTGCCAAGTGGCTGGTAGAATGGTACCACTGCTTCACTTCTACATTAGGGTGTGAGGGACTCTTTCAAAAGCAGGGCTGGGCTAAATAATTTTTTCCCCTTATATCTAATCCATACAACAAAAAATGTACAGGAAAATTCAGTTTTGAAGGAATTCATACAGTTATAGAACCATTCAGAGCCAGGACACTGGTTATTGATGAAAGTTATTGATACTCCCACAGCATGAGAGTTTTTAGTGCTTTGGAAGAAAACTTCAAACTCAGTAAAGTTCCTCTACAAAGTTAGAATTGAAAACATGTTCACCTTGTTCCCTTTCTATGTTTAAATTTTAGCAGTTAGGGACACATAAAAATTTGGGAGTTAAGCTTTGTTTTAGACAAGCTTTGCAAAATTCAGATGATTATTTAAAATAACATAGTTTGCTTGAGACTGATGTGCAATAGCTAGGAGTTATAGTCCATTTGTATATGGACTGTATTTAGACTGTCACAAAAACTACTAAAAAGTGACAAGGGAAATAATGAGGAAGTGGATAGCTTGACTTTGGGGGTTTTATTTTATATCACTTCCTTATTTTTTCTTTAAAATTATCATGAAGTGGTGAATTTGTATGTTATTTTGCAATTGCCTCAATTCCTCTTGTGCTACAGACCACTAATGCTGAGATGGTTGTTAGGGGAAAGCAAATGCTTCCTTGCATCATTTATGAAACTGCATCCCATCAAATTGAATAAATTGGGCCAAGAAGATAAATAGAGCTCAGTTTCATTCCTGATGGCCTTCACTTCTGGATCCTTCAAGGGGTCCAGGGATGGAAAGAGACTTGATTTGCTTTGGCTTTCCTGGGAGCAATTGTCTAGGACCAAGAGCCAAGTGTTATTCTTCCAGTAAATTAAGAGTCTTACGTAGGAAAGCTGTAGTCGGTACCTTATAGTCAGTGACTATATTAGTAGGAGATAAAAATGTAAGTTTGTTTGTCTGCCAAAGCAGACTGAGCAATGTCAGCATTCTAGAAACATGCGTAGTTAGGGTCTGGATAGAACATATGCCTGGAAAATATTTATGTACTCTACCTTAAAAATAAATGCGGTTGTTGTTACTTTATCCCATCTTTTTTTCAACTGTCTGTCATATACCAGAAGTAAAGGTCAGCACAAACTGTACACCATCAACCTGAAAAACATACTGTACCAAAGTGTCAGCTGTAATGGAGATACTGAGTACAGTTATCCATGGATTTTAACCCGCAGAACTGTGTTTTGGCATTGCTGTATTAACACTTCTTTAGTACCACATGCTATATACGAAAAAGGCTAGATAATTTCTTTAAAGCATCTTGTCAGATGGGAAGCAATTTTAATCAGTAAAATGTCTATATTTAATTTTTGAAAATATTTCAAATTGCTCTTGAGATCACTATTATATCAGTGGTTTGATACAGTCTTTTACTTTCTCATATGAAGCCTTGCAGGTTTTGGTTCAGGGTAAAATTTCTATATGCATGGGTTTGGCAAAAGTGAAAGTCAGAGTTTGTCACGTAATTCATGGTAAAGCATGTAGTTCTTTATACATGCCAGGTATTTTTTTAATAGTAGAGCAGAGAAAAATTCTGGTTGTCATTGACTTCTAGTTTCCTTGGTTATAAACACATTTCTAAATTACTTTCTAGATAACTGTGTTGATTTGACATAGCAACTGTAAAAGGTTTTAATATAGATTTTTGGATATATACTGGCTGGCAGATTAATTTTTAAAACTGTTTTTTATGCTATATAATGTGGATTGATGAATACACAAAATCTAATTCCCCTCTTCAAAGTACATTGAACTTTGACCTCATTTGAAACCTGGTTTTACCAAAATCTAGCTCGTACATATGGAATTTTACCTGTTCTGACATTCCAAAGCTTGTGTAGATATACGTGAGACGTACTTGCCTTAATTTTGTAGATCTGTAACTAAGGAGGCATGAGAAGTAGTATAAGGTACAAAACCATTCCAAACCTGTATATAAGTACATCGGGTAAGGCAATATAAAAGCCCTGTAAAAAAGCAGGGTTTTCTCCCTTTTTTAACAGTAGTAACACAAGGTATAATATGCGTGCATAATATAGAGAGATAATCATATATTGCACTTAAAGGAAGTAACATTTCTGAAAGACATGTAAAAAAAAGTCAGTGTCATTTGCCATGGATAAATAGGCATAAATGATAAAAAGCCATAACTTTGTACCCAAAGTATTTCCAGGTAAATTATTCATTGCGCTATAACACATTACGCAGCTAAAACATCACTCACAAAGGAAAAATGCTGTGTCACACTTTGGAAAAGCAGCATCTCTTTGTGCAGAGTTTCCTTAATGTTATTTTTACCAATTACAAAGGAGGTAAAGAAAAACTGAAGGATAAGTTAAATATTTTTCATCTCTTAAAGTGAAACCTACCTTTCTGCAAAGGCTTAATACAGGAACAATTTTTAAAGTTTAACTGGATTTGATTTTTGTGGTGACCTATATGGATGAAATTTTCTCTTTTATTAAAATGATTCCACTTAGATTTCAGTGTAAAACAGTTTCCATTAAATAACTTTTAAGTAAATTGCTGTTTCTGCACATTCAAAGTGTCTTATGCTAGTGCGTTTCAGCAAGTCAGCAACTAGCAGACTAAGAACATGTTAAATAAACTTTTCATACTCAAAGTAAATAAGCTGTATTTGTAAAGGGACGCTCTGCTGTACCATTAGTTTGAAAAGGTGAGATGTATATATTATTTTATAATGATGATAGTTTAAACATTATATTATAATGATGAAAAAAAGTGAATGGAGGAATAATGAAGTTAAAAGTTATCATCACTGTCCTGTTGTAATTATCCTTATTCTTAATATCTATCTTTATTTTGTCTGTTGTAATTTTGTTTTTCTTTTCAGTCTGTTATTGAAAATAGTAAGTTCTTTGAGCAGTATGAAGTTACTTACCAGATCTTGAAAAGAGCAGCTGAAATGTATGCCAAAGCAAATGGCTCAGGTAAATGCCTATGTTTCTTTCATCATGCGGACATAATTTTAATCTCTAAGATCTAAAAAGATCTCCTAATATTTGTTTCTTCCATGCAGCAGAGCTGTACAGCAATTGCAGTTCACCTGAGAGGCTAGAGCCTCTGGTAGCAATTTCACATATGAACTGTACCAGCGTGAAGCCAACTTGTACGGAGCAGCCTGCCCTCCTGCTGTTAAAATTTCTTAATCTCCAGAAGCAGGTGTTCGTGTTCAGACTTCCTAATGGGAGAAATCCATGGCTCATGCTAACTTCTGGATTGTTTCAGTGTTGTTGATTTAGGGCAAAAGTGTGCCAGAGACCAAACTGGGAGCTGGGAAGATCATGTTCTGGTGCCTGGAAATGCTCCCTGGCTTGACTTCATTTACTAGAAAAAGACACACAGAGAGCTGGTCCCAGTATTGTTCTAGTAGCAAAAAGTATCCCCTGATTTATTGAAGATTCTTCACTAGCTGTGAAAACCTATAGGAAGAACCCAAATGATAAGTGAAGTAAGGATATACATGAGAAAAATATGCAGCTGATTCAACAGCTGCCTCCTGTAATTCCTGAACACTGCTGAGTTCAGTGAGAATGCATGAGGGCAATATTTGACCTCAACAGTTAGAGACATGAGATCACTTTAATCTCTGCTGAGGAGATAACACAATAATGTCTGTGGAGGATTGCTGCAGCTCCTAAAGTGGTTAGCAGATGTGGAGAGAAAATGGATATCTTTTTTTGCTGTGAAATTTAAGTTGATGATCGTCACACTCAAATTTTACAAAAGTAAACATTTTTACCAGTCATTCTTACAAAGAATAAAATTAATAGATTTATTCAATGCTATTAAAAAATCCAATAACAAATTCTTTTCCAGAGGGCAGCTATTCACTTACATGAATTCAGATACAGCAGTGCAAATTAGAAGACACCTTAGCTAAAAAATGTTGTTTAAATTATCTATATTCTGCATGTTTTATGAAGTCTCAGAATTGGTTTGGGTCCTTTTTCTTCTCTCTGGTTTGTTTGTTTGGGCTTTTTTTTTTTTTTTTTTTTTCCCCTGCAATGAGTACACACTTGTTCCTCTATTACCATGAGGAAAATACTAAAAATTAAATGGCAAAAATTAGCAGCAGTTTGGTTTTAAAGTTGGTGCAAGGAAGATCAGAATTTCATTCAATACTTTTCAGTGCAGACACAATATGTGTTTGTACATTAGACATCTCTATTATTTTCTGCTTGTTTAAGGAAACTTTCTCTCTTGATTTCTTTTATTGCAGATTAGAAATGAACACCACATTTGAATACGCAGTCTAACTGTTTCAATATAGCACTAGTTTTATGTACTTTCTTTAGTCTTTAATTCAGAGGTTTAACTTCTCAGTCATAATTTTGCACTAAAATTGGGCTGTGAACTGAACATATGTATATAAAAGCCTACTGAAATAGAACTTGCAGTAAAATATAATTCCCCAATGAGAGTGGATAAGCATAGCATAAAAATAAGCTTTACAGAAATAATAATGAACCAAAATATTCAATGTCTATCCCATATCTCAGTGGAAGAAGTTGAGAATGTGATGAAATTCATGAATGAAACAACAGCACAGTGGAGGAACCTCTCAGTAGAGGTGAGAAGTGTAAGAAGCATGTTGGAAGAAGTAATTGCTAATTGGGACAGATATAGCAGCACTGTGGCAGGACTACAAGCTTGGCTGGAAGATGCTGAAAAAATGCTGAATCAGCCTGAACATTCTAAAAAGGTATGCATTGATAGCATATGGATCTGGCTATTTTGTAAATTAGGAAATGTGGGATATGTTTTTGCATCTGGTTAGGTTGTTTTACAAAATGTCATACAAGAGGGAGAGATTTTTTCAGTTTCTGGCATACTGTCTACACTCATCATAGGTGTTTCAATGTTTGCACGTATAGCGTGTACAGACATATATACACGGAATGAAGGAAGGCATCACCTGTGATTACATGGTTAGAGTCATTTTTCGCGTGAATATAGGGCAGCAGTATTGCTCAGAGATAGGAATGTTACATGGTTTACTCAAAGGCAAATACAGCTCTTAACACCAAAGTGCATAGTCATATGCTACCTATGAAGACACATAAAGAAAATTCTTTTTTTCCACTGATTTTTCTACCATATAGATGACCAATTTTAATATTAGTTATCTTCACAAGACAACATTATTAATGTGTTGTTATGTTTGATGGATAAGTAATCAATCAATTTCCCTGACATTTTAGAAATCTTTTAGACAGTTCCTTGCTTTCTTTTTTTTCTGATCTGTAGTACAGTACTGAAGCACTAAGATTTATGTTTGTGAAACTTCAATAATGACCTATATTGACTTGAATAATAGTGCATTTAATAGGTGCTACATTTTCACCCAGTTCCAACGTAGCACCAATACAGCTCTTAACACCTTAGCGTAGTTTTCAGATCGGTTTTATAACTTTACCTTTAAAGATTTTCAAAGCAGAAATCTGAACGTATCCATACAGTATATACTTCCTTCCAATTTCTACCCTAAATCCAACAAGTACTTCTTACCATTCTGATATATGAAGAGTTTCAAAAAGCCTTGTTGAAAACATTAGACATGAAAGAATTATTCTTCCCAAAATGCTAATTTCTTCTTAAAATTACATTGGCTTAAAGCTGTTAAAGATAACTGAGAGGTAACATAATCCACCTGTAGACTGAGATACATATTTTAGAAGTTACTTCTATTATTAATGTTGAATCTAGCAGTCCACAGCAATAATGTTCACTTAGTTCCAAGAATAGTTCTGATTTAGCAGTTTTAATATTTGGTTATTAAAACCAAAAGCAATACTTAACATTTGTTTGTACAATTAATAGTCATGCAGCCATCAGCACAAGCATCTGGAATCCCAGGTGAAAGATGATAACTATTGCTTGGAATATGGCATAAAACTTTTTTAAACTTTCCATATATTTATTATGTAAAATCACAAATATATGTCAGGTATGATACAAAGATTTCATTGATGCTCATTTGCAAACCTTACCTGCATTACTAAAACCCACCATATTCTATCCTAGGCAAAGACCATAGTAGCCCCTTACCATGCTGTCATGCCTTCTTCTTCTTTCCATTATCTCTATATGACTTCAAGACCAACATATGCCACTGTTCTTTTTGCAAAACAAAGTGGCTTCTCGGTGTTCTCATTGCTTTCTGTTTTCAGAAACCTTATTGTGAAACTGTAGTACAGATCTTGCAAAAAAGATCAGTATGTGCTTGGATTTTTCTACCACAAAATACTAGAAATTTAACAGTAAATGTATTAATGAACAAGCTGCTCCTTCTACAACCCCTTTATTTACTTGCAGTACCTCTTAAGCACTTCCTATCATAACCCCGTTGTAACTCCATTCTCCTACACCTTTCCCCAACAGCTGTATCGAAAGGGTATCGGAGGGCTTCTAGATCTCATGCAGGGACTTCCTTTAAAAGAGCTGCATTGTTTTAATTGAGAATGAAGTATGCTTCACAGTACCTTCCAAACTTGTCCAAATTTTACCTATGCTTTAGGCTGGCTTCTGAAATGGAGAAACTCCTCAGCAGGGTCTGAGAAAGGGAATGGTTTGTGGAAATAAGTGTGCGGGAGCAAGGGACGTGAGTAATTGACTCCATATGCTTTTTCCTTTCTGACTCTAGTAAGCCTGACCATTGGAGAACTGAGCAGTACCAGTTCAATAAACTTAATTTCTTTAGGATGTGCTCCCAGAGGGTAGCCTTTGCACAAAACAAGAGTTGTGTTCCACTGCAAGTGGAAAATTCAAACTGCACGTACAATTTACTGAGATGATTAAGTTTATTCACTAATATATCAGTACTATGGTGGTTTTGGCTGGGATAGAGCTAGTTTTCTTCACAGTAGCTAGTATGGGGCTGTGTTTGGATTTGTGCTGAAAACAGTGCTGATAACACAGGGATGCTTTCGTTACTGCTGAGCAGTGCTCACACAGAGCCAAGGCCTTTGCTGCTTCTCACACCACCCCACCAGCGAGGAGGCTGGGGGTGCACAAGGAGTTGGGAGGGGACATAGTGGGGACATCTGACCCAAACTGGCTAAAGGGATATCCCAGACCATATGACATATGACATCATGCTCAGCATATAACTGGGGAAACTAGCCAGGAGGCAGGATCACAGCTCAGGAATTAGCTGAGTATTGGCTTTGGGTGGTAAGCAGTTGTGCTGTGCATCACTTTTTTTGTATATTATTATTATTATTATCATCTTCCTTTTCTGTCCTATTAAACTGTCTTTACCTCAACCCACAAGTTTTACTTTTTTTTTTTTTTTATTTTGATTCTCTCTTCCTTCCCACTGAGGGGAGGAGTGAGCAATCAGGTGTGTGGTTGCTTTAGCTGCTGGACACGCTAAACCACTACAAGTACAGAGCACCTGTACTCTACTGATCTCTGCTTTAGGAATTTAAAACACTATATGTTGTTCAATTCTCTCTTCAACAAATTTTAGCAGTATACATCCATTTGATGTTTTCTTTTTGGTTGTATCTGAACTGTTTTTACATGTGGATGAGTTCTGACAAGTATAAATTATAAAGTGTCAGAACTGTAGCTCTGAAACTTGGGATGACTGACAGTACAGTTGGCCAGGACTTTTTCACATCTACCCCTGAGCAAAGGATTGCTTGGGACTGTCACTGTCCGGCGAACAGCCTTGAAATTATAGGGTATATTGGTAGTCATAAATAAAATGGGTCAGTGCCCCTTCTTTAGTCCTGAGGACCAAGTGACATGGTTCATCTTGTGTCCTTGTGGCTACTCTTTCTCCCCTGAAAGAAGGTGGCCTCATGACTCAGTCTATTGGGAACAGTCCTTGCCATGTGTTGTCCATTGAATTGTGCATTGTCTGGGAGAAGGGAAGCAGGGAAAAGTCAAAAACCTGTCAGAGAAGATGTGGACAATCATGGGACAGTGATTGAGTCCTGTATTGTTTACTGGTATAGCCGTAGTCATAGTGCCTGGAGATATCTGCCTTAGGAACAATTGCCCGTCCTCTTGAAGAGCAAAAAGGAAGGGACAGAGCTGGTCTTTGTCTCCTCCACCAATGTATGCATGTGTACCTGCCTACAAGATGTGCAGAAGCATTTAGCATTATGGCTGGGCTATTTCGGCTGTCTCACTGGAACAGGGGGAAAAAAATCAGTGACAACCATCCCTTTCCCCTCCCCACTCACCTACTCTGAGGTGGGAGGAAGCAGCGATAAAGAATCAGTCTTCTCAGGTCTTCTGGAATGCCAGACCCTGGAAAGCTGCATATGGTTCACAGTAGGGGAAGAAACTCTCTACAGTCTGTATATGTCCCAGGTTACTATCAGCCCATCCTGTTTTACAGACAAGACAGAAATTAGAAGAGCTCTAACTGTGGTTTCAGTCATGGAGTTTTCTCTTAAGGAGGAGTTCCATTAGCTTAACTGAAGCTACTCACTGGAGTAAAATGAGCTGTAAGTAAACTGCTGGTAGTTTTAAATTCCATAGGTTATGTTCACAGACTTTAAAATTCTATTATGGTATACTATGAAGAGCTTCAGAGGATAATTGTTCAAAGAGTTTTATCAAACCATTAGCTGGTGATTAAATTTTAGTTTCATGATTTAAGATAAAGACTAATTGAAAAGGTTTTGGAAAGGTATTTTCATTTTTTTCTTCAGGATTTCTTCCGGCACTTACCTCATTGGATCCAACAGCACACAGCCATGAATGATGCTGGTAATTTTCTGATTGAAACATGTGATGAGACCATTTCCAGAGACCTTAAACAGCAGCTTCTGTTACTGAATGGAAGATGGAGAGAATTGTTTATGCAAGTTAAGCAGGTATGTGTTTTTGCTGGTGTTACTTTTAAAGATTCACTTTGTCATTTCCATGCAAGCAAGACAGATTTGCCCCACTAGCAAGACTATAGGGCAACTTACTAAAGTGACTAACTGTTCATCATTATTTAAATTAGAAATTAATCCCTGACAGCAGTTTATTTTATTGGGGCTTTTCCTTTGTTTATCACTTTGGTTATACAGATTTTTATTTTTGGACATTTTCAGCTAGTATAAGCTGTAGTTTTCCTTTATGGTCACCTGTATTGATATAGTGAATATTATTTATGCATGTCCTCTACTGTTCTTCAAAGAAAATGATTGGGTTTAAGTAGCTATTGTCATTTTAAAAGCTCTGTAAAACTAAACAGTGAAAATGGTGAAAGTGAATGTTTTTGCTACTCTTTAATGAAAGTTGCATTCAATTATTGTACTGCAAGCATAAGCAGGTACAACACAAGTTAATTAAGTGTTTTCCCCACATCTTTCAGACATTACTTCTATCTTGTGTAAAATAAGGCACTGATAATAAATGAAAAAACTACCCTTTATCTCATGGAAGAGATTCAACTGATTGGAAAAGAATTGTTGTTTCTATATTTGCTCTTTAAAAAGCAAAGAGAAGATGTGAGCTATATTACACAGAAGTATTTCACACCTGATAAACACATTAGAAAATACCTTTGCTATAGTCAATATACATCTAATGATATTTTTCCCTTAAACAGCAGTTGCCTATTTGATGATGCTGAATCTATTTTCTCTACTGGCATGATTATTTCCATTGCAGTCAAGCTAAATGGAAAAGCAAATAATGATTGCCCCCTTTTTATTGTAACTTTTCCAAAATGTTGACGAGAATGTTCTCAAGCTTTATTTGCTGCAGATATTTAGAGTGATTCACTGTGGAAACAGCAATGCCCAGGATGTAAATATCTCTTCCTCCACTTATGCAGCTTCTTTCATGTGGTGACTATATGGTTTTTCTTGCTGGCTTTTCACCATTTTTGTTACACAGCTCTTTCCACTTTGAGACCTGTGTTCTCCCTTCCTCCAGCCAGCAGTTCTTTTATTGAAATTTCCCTTATCCTTCATCTTTTCTACGCTTTCTGTGTTCTATTCTCTTTGCTGAATTTTCAAAATTGTTACTGTACATAATGAGAAATGAAATGAGATGCTGATTCTAGGTTAGAAACAAATGAGAGTCTGGCATTCTCCAAATGACCCAAACCTTAAAAAAGGCTGTGCTCTTGTATGAATGTTGTTCTTTTTAGTATCAGCAATACTGGAACTAATGTAGATGATTACTGTCTAATTTAGAAGATTAATTTCCATTATCTCATATTTTGTTGAATACAATTTTTTCCAGCAAACAATTGCACTGAAAACATACTCATTCTCTTAAGTCATTACTTAATTGCCAGATACCTTATTTGTGGTAGTTATATTTTTGTTTGTTTCTTTTTACTTAGTATGCTCGAGCAGATGAACTGGACAAAATGAAGAAGGAATACCTGGATGGTGTTACCCATTTGACAGCTTTTATTGATGGAAGCAATAGGAAATTTTCAGTCCCTGTAGAAATGTCCTTCCTTGATGTCAAAATGTTTGTACAAGATTTAGAAGTAAGCGTCTTCCTTCCATTCCTTTCTTTCTCCTTCATAACAGAGAAACTTGTAACTATTTAAGAGCATAAAATTATTTTAGTATACATCTCCATTATTACTTTTTTTAATCAGTGATGCTTTTTTATATAATTTCTGCTATAGCTAAAATAAATCATTGTATTCTATGAGTGACACTTCTAGTACACATTTCCAAAACACTGTACCACTGGATATTTCTTTGTGTAGTTTCAAATCACATTCATGTGCACTGAATGATACCCTTTGGCACAGTTTTTATGCATTTGAAACATGATCCAGTATTCACTAAAATCAGCGATGAAAACAATTGATAATTGGAATATATTTTATCTCTTGAGAACAGACTAGTATTTCCCATGAATGCATAAATGCTGTTGTTGAAATATTTTTGAAACATTTGTTTCAGAATATTAAGCAGAAATTGCCTGCCATGGAATCTCAGTACAAAATGGTTACAAGAACAGCGCAACTTGTTACAAAAGAAGTTTCCCAAGAGGAAGTGAATGAAATGCTTGGAGCTTTGACAAAGATCAAAGAGCAGCTGAGCAAGGTTACTGGACACTTTTTCTATTACACATGTTGTTGACTGTTGAACTAATAAATAGTAAGCTCCCCTACATAAATGGTCAGATATATGCATTTGAGCAAATATATAGTTACAGTACCAATAGATTGATTCGGGGTGGAGAAAATGTTACTTCTTTCAGACTTTAAGACTACCATCCTTAAATTTAATATTCTTTTCTTTAACAAGTAATACAGGATCAGGATTGATTTATCTCCAAAAGAGGCAGGTAGCAACTATATAAAACCATATGCAGATGAAGCTACTATATGTTGAATTTTACAACTTTTTTAATAATTCTTTTTCTTTGAAATGGCCAAAAGGTTGAGGAGTATTCCTGTGCCCTGCTGTATGAATGCCAGCATCTGCTGTCTCCACTGGAAGAACTGGAGAAACAAATCACACATTTTTATGAATCTCTTGAAAAGGTCAATGAAATAATTTCTATCCTGGATCCTGAAGCACAACCTACAACTGTTCTTAAACAAAAAGCCCAAGTAAGTTTCAAAAACATCTTTCAAAGATCTGCTGCCTCTGAGTATTTACAGTTAGCTTTCTAGGAATTTGGATTGCAACTCGGTAAGCTGCGCAAATGTTTCTTCATATTCAGGCAACAAACATAACCTATCCCAAAGTCAGCTAAGCATAAACGTACCAAGATTGAAACTTGTGTTTCCTCCCAGTGCCCGTGGTTTCAATCCAAAAAGTAAACATAAGACTTTGGTTTTATCTATTGGAAATTGGACTGAAATATCAGAAATACATTGGATTTTTTATTAAGCAGATGAAATAACATGATCAGGAAAATCCCTAGGTTTTCTTGGACAATTATGGAAGTTTCTTAGAAGTCTGGAAGTGGTTTCTTTGAAGTGCATTGTAGTAGAACATTAACTTTTCTAACCTGACCAATAAATGTTTAATTCTGGAGGAATTCAGAGCTAGTCAGAACTCTTTTGGAAAGGTAAATGAAAATATGAGGATCTTGCATAGGAGAGAGTTGGGGTTGCTCAGCCTGGAGAAGAGAAGGCTCTGGGAGACCTTATAGCAGCCTGTCAGTACCTGAAGGGGGCCTACAGGAAAGCTGGAGAGGGACTGTTTACAAGGGCATGGAGTGATGGGGCAAGGGGTAATAGGTTTAAGCTGAAGGAAGGTTGATTTAGATTAAATTTTAGGAAGAAATTCTTCACTGTGAGGGTGGTGAGGCCCCGGAACAGGTTATCCAGAGAAGTTGTGGCTGCTCCATCCCTGGCAGTGTTCAAGACGAGTTTAGATGGGTCTTTGGGCAGCCTGGTCTAGTGGAGGGTGTCCCTGCCCATGGCAGGGGGGGTTGGAACTAGATGGTCTTTAAGGTCACTTCCAACCCAAACCATTTTATGATTATACGATTCTCTGAATTGGCATTTATCCTCGTGTATGTGTGGTATATAGCCTAGAAATAGTCCCTCAAAATTGATGTACACATTTCATTAGAGTCAGATTTGACAGGTAATATGCTGAAATGGGTTTTTTATGGGAAGTTGAACTCTTTAAAAGTCATTTAGAGTCCCTTGCAGGAAAAAAAAAAAAAAATATTGGAATAGAGATTTAATTTCACATGTGTGTGTATATATAAATTAGTTCAAGCTTATAATGACTCTGGAGATCAGCCCAATAATTCAACAAGAAGTGTCTTCTCTTCTAGTGATTTCAAGCTTTAATTGTGTTTTGGTAAAAAAAAAAAATTATCTGGTAAGCTTAAATCAAGCCAGTCCATTTATCTTCCTTCATAAATTGTCTTCTGTTTATGAACACCAGTTGAGTTGTGTCCAACCTGCAGGTTAAGGAGCAGCTCATAAGAGTGCTCCTTTCCTCTGCCCCTGAAGGTTAATCTGCCCCGGAACATCACAATGAAAAGACATGTTTCTTCTGCAGTTATTTGCCAACCAAGGAACCAAAATATTCTCAGTTTATAGAGGGTGCTGGTTTCTGCTGTTCAAAAAGTAAACAGAGTTTTGTGCTGAGGAATACAGTGTTCCTTCAACAGCAGAACAATTTCCTCACTACAGGATCTTTTAAACCCCTTTTTCAGCCTATGCAACTTCATGCATGCTTTCTTCTCTCTGTCTCTCTTGTTTTTTCTTTCTCATTACTTAATGCCATTTGAAATGAAATCTGAATTCCAATAGCTGACGTGAAAGGTTAATTTGTTGAAAGGCAAGAAAGGTTAACATCTCAACCTGCTACTAAGAGTTGTCATTCTTATGTCTATTGTTTTCACTGCTGCCTACTTACAATTATACAATAAATAGAAACATCCCGTAAAATTAAATCACAGAATAATATATTGACCTGCATTCTCTAAAACTACCCAAAAGGTTTGGGTATATGTCTGTGTCTTTTTTTTTTTTTTTATAGATAGCTAGAGCTCTATTTGGGTACAGGGCTCCACATACAAGGAGAAAGTTGTGTGGTCTATGTTATTCCATGTAACATTTTGTGTAGTCTGTTCGTCACGGTGCCTTGAACTTGTCCCTTTTGTTCTTATTGTCAAAAAAAATCTTCCTGTTATTTTGCCAAACTTTTCTCTCCTTTGTTCCTGGCCAGGGTGGATATATGTTTTTTTCTTTCAGGATTTGGTAGCTTATCAAGAAAACTGCAAGAAAGATTTGTCTCTGATTGAGAGAAATAGTCAGAGTATCCTGCAATGTGTGGCTTCTAGTGAAGTCTTACAGCATTTCCATCAGTCAACATTTCAGAAGAAAGTTACACAAGTTCAGATTACTTTTCAGGTAATTATGTCATACCTTTTTTGCTTATTTTTGAAAACGTGTTCATATGCATCTGATCCATCCTACTGTATCTCCATTTCATCACTTTGTAGCTACTGTCATGGAGACCTCTCATCCCTGGTGTCAAGTTATTAATTAAGGATTTGTCTGAATTAGGTAATAAATGGTCAGGGAACTGACAGTCCTGTTCTCCATGCAGTTATATAGAGGTGAGCCTGCCTCTGAGGAACACGGGATTTAAGGAGAACTTTCACATGTCTCAGGCTCCTTTGGAACGAGGAACCTGAAATCCACCTGTTAGGGTTGCACTGGCTTTTGTTTCTTCTGACTTTGTTTTCTTGGCTAATTTTTTGCCCCTGTATTCCCATACATCTCTTTCACACAAAGCATGGAAGATGAAAACTTTTGCAAATTGTACTATTGCTGGACTTTGTATTTCCTCAGAAAATGCAGTGAATTGTAAATATAGAAAGTTGCAATTATGTATTTGTATTTGTCAATGTAAAGATGTGTACTTCAGAGTATAATCCCCCATACCTGTAGAGCTCTATGTTGTTATCAGCCATATTGATATTTTCAGGGCTATTTACCCCCAGTCTAGCCTGAAATTAACCATTATCTTGGAGTCAGATCTCCAGATGTTAGGTTCTATTAGATTTGTTTTCAGGCAATTATTGTTCAGTATAAAACTATCTGAAGTGAATTTTAAGCTACTGAAAAATCTCCTATCAGTAAAGAGCTGTCACTGAGAGGTAGCTTTCAAAATTTATGTTGTATTTTGTGGGCTGTACTTAAAGATCAGTGGGGTTTGATTTACAATTTAAAAATCATTATTTAAGTTTAGCTTATAGTAACAGAAGCAGATACAGTTGTAGCTTGGTAAATTTACCATGTTAAACATTAATTATTCTGTTTCTATAAAGATGAATGGTGATTTATCTCTTTTTGTGTTAGAAAATAAACCTATAAAACATGGCATAACCATACAAAATGTGGCATACCCAGAGTTAAAATATTTATGGATATGGAAACTGGCATTTTCTCATGTAAAGAACACATTCCTGTGATTTTACTATTATACACAATTTTTTATCAGGAAATTTTAAAAAGGCTTGGAAAGGTTTTTAAGTTGAGAACTACAGATTTGCTTAGGTCACTGGGTAAAATCATTACAATTCCTTACACTGGGGTTTGTAATCAGTGAGGATGGTAAAGTGTATGGTTAGTAGGCAGTGTTGGAATTACCTTGCTGCGGTTGAACTGGTGAACTGTTCATTTCTCCCTGTAAATTTTGTTAATGGCTTATGGAATTGTAACCACTGGATAATTCAGTGCACTGGGACAGGCTGCAAAGCAGAATAATGAAGAGCTGTGACTAAGGTTTCAAAACAAGAGGATTTCAGGGTAGCAGCTAAACCACAAAACTTGCTGTCTTTCTTTTAAGCGGCTTTCTACCTGGTTGCTTCTCTGGCTTACTAGTGAGATAATCATACAAACCTCCTCCAGGTCAGAAGACCTGTAGCATGGAACTGGTTGGATCCATAGGTCAAACCAGCATCATGTGGAATTGTGTAGGAGGAGGCAGTCTGCTACTAGGAAAAATGGAATGGCAAGCTTTTAACTATACCAGGTGCTTTACATTTGAAAGCAGGCTTTAGGAAGTAAACACTAGCCAAACAGCAGAGGCATTGTGAAGTATTAGATAGCTACCCATTTTTATCTGAATGAAGGATAACATTAGCACGAGCATTAGTATAAGTATTAAAAATTGGGAAAAGGAGACCATGAAAGGGCAAATATTTGAAAGAGTAACACCCATCAAATGCATTTTTTGTAAGATCATGGTAAAAGAGAACAAATAAAAATCAGTGAGAAAGTGCCAACTCATTTTCTTTGCTTTTATCTCAGAATATGGTCAGGAAAGCTGGGGACTGGAGAAAGAACATCGAAGCAAATAGTCGTTTGATGAAGAAATTTGAGGAATCTAGAGCAGAACTGGAGAAAGTAATACAGATTGCCAACTGTTGCTTAAAAGAAAAAGGAAATCCTGAAGAACTTCTCAGGAAACATAGTGTGAGTAAATTCTCTGACCTTCTTCATGGAAATCTTTGAGTGCATGACATACAACTGAAAAGCCTACTTAAAATTAATGTGAATTTCTTTCACATATAGAAGTTATATAGATCAGGTCAAACTAATGTTAAGATTGAAAACCAAAATGGAAAAAAGGATCACCCCTCTTATTGATGAATGTAAGCAACCAGAATGTGAAGAGAGAAGACTCCCTAGAAATTAGGGTCTGTTTTGCCAGTAGAACCTCTGGGAGTGAGGACATTACATTTCGCCAGTCTCACGCATCTACTGTTTTTTTTTTTTTTTTTTTTTCCAGATGAATATCTGTGCCTGTATTATGACCATTACTCATTCATGTAGCTTTAAAATGTATTCTTCTTAAAATACCATCTCAGTGTACTGGCTGAGGAAAAAAAAAATTTGCTGGACTTTAAATAGCTAGAAATAGTTCTTTCCTTAGCTCAAACTTCAGTTCTTCAATGCAGCAGAAGTAACCTTGAAACTTAGAGGGTGTGAGGGAACATCCTGTTGGCAGGTCACCATATCAATAAGCAGCTTCATCTTCTCACCTTCTCACTTTTTGCCTCAATTTCAGGAATTTTTTAACCAGTTGGATCAGAGAGTCCTAAATGCCTTTCTGAAAGCGTGCGATGAACTTACTGACATCCTCCCAGAACAAGAGCAGCACAACCTGCAGGAAGCTGTGAGAAAACTCCACAGGCAGTGGAAGGTTAGTGGTATTGATGGTGTCTCTAGAAATCATAAGTCTTATCTTTGGAATGTTTCTGCATGACCTATATGTTAAAAAAAAAAAAAAGGGGGGGGGGGGGGGGCAAAAAAAGCTGTATTGTTTGGCTTCCTGCACAATTGGAGAAAACAAAAAGTATTTTATAACATTAGATAACATTACATCTACAAATATCCTCTTGAAAAAAGCCCTGATAAGTGGTCAAAAGTCAAGGAATGTGAGAAATTAATTATGAAACCTTAATTTCTCTCCCTACTTACAGCCATAATGATGCCTGTGTTAGGAACATTCATTGAGAATAGGTGCTAGCTTTTCTTACTTTATGCTGATATTGGGTGATTTGAGTTACTTTCCTGATCTTAACAAAACAAATTTGTAAGAGGTCCTGCTATCAGTTTAGATTGTGTCTTCTGCCGAAGTCTCTAATAGCTGAAAGCTATGGAATTTTTTTGCCTGCTACAGCATGTTGCAGATCAAAGCTGGATTGATGGATGAGCAGTTTCTCACTATCACGCAAACAGGAACCTCTGGAAGCAGTTGCGAATATAGTTTCACTATTTGTTTGCTTTATTATTTTATACAGAAAATATTTGGTATATCTTGCCAAGAATCAAGATGTCTCTGTATTGCGTGTAATACATACACACATGGCCCCCAAAAACTTAATACCTTATGCTGTATCTAAGAGATACTGGTCACAGAGTAGCATAATTTACTTAAATGAATATGGAGATACCCCCATCTGTTCATGCATATATATGCTTTATTTTCTATGTTAGCAGGTTTTTAGATAATTTATTTGTAATAACTTCACACTGAGGTAATGGGAGTAGTGTTTTATCTCTGTGTTTGTTTATTGCCCCTGTGGGTGTGTAGGATCTTCAGACAGAAGCCCCATATCATTTGGTCCACTTGAAGATTGAAGTACAGAAAAGCAAGTTCCTGGTTACAGTGGAGGAGTGCAAAGCTGAACTAGTTCGACAGAACAAGGTCTTATCAAGAGAGGGCAATGAAAGGATGATTGAGGAACACATGGTATGAATTATATGCCACCACATGGGCATATACAGAAATACATTTCAATGTCAATAATAACCAGAACGTCTGACCCACTCTTAAGCCACCAAACACTCTATGCACAACTAAATCAGATCGATCCTTGGGGCCTTTAACAAAAAGTTGGATTTGACCTTAGTACAGTTTATAACAAATATATAGATATGCTTTGTGATTTCCACCAATTTGTATTTTTATTGAATTTTCTGCTTTGTCTCCCACCAGTTGTTCTTTGGTGACAAGGGATCTTACCATCTGTGTGAGAAAAGGCTACAACGGATTGAAGAACTGTGCCAAAAATTGCCAGTTTCTGATCCAGTGAGGGCTACGTTGGAAAGCAGCCAACGAATCCTGAAGGAGCTCAAATCCCAGATAGACAGCACATACATAAAGCTGACAGAGCGCTCGGACACCTGGAAGGGCTATAACAACAGGTGTCAGCTCAATTGCTAGCTGGGTCTCGTAGAGCCTTATGTGTGGTAACTCCTCTAAATGTCGTCATAGATCAGTTCCACGTAAAGAATGATACTGTGTGGTTAGCTTCAAGTAGAAAACTGTACTTTATGTAGTAATTCCACAAATTATAGTGGGGTTTTGAGTGAATTTTATAATTTTGGTCTTAAATTTAAGAGGTTAATGTTTGGTGGTGGCAATTTTTGTCTAACTTTTTTCCTTGCTTTGCATTATTTCAGATTTTCTGAATTGGCAAATTGGATTTCTTCAACAGAAAGAGAGCTAAAGAAGATAAAGGAAAGTGCCAATGATACTGCCAAATACAAGCAATGTAAAGCATCCGTGGGGGTGAGCCTTTGGCTTGTATTCTAACAAAGCTATGGTCATTGCTGCTGGGACTCTGGATAAAACTGTATTCTGAAGTAGTGCAACTGTTTTACTATTGAGACCGTAGTAGTGCTGCTGATTCCTGGTATTCTTAAAAACATTTCTGGAAGAAAGCTCCACATGCAGAAAATTGTGGCAGAAGTTCCTGCTTTTACTAATTTAGAGAATGGCAGATCCCTTTACTTGTGTATTTAGAACATCTAAAATATAGAAGCAGACAGAATAAATACTTGCCCCTCATCCTGCTGCGTGTGCAGTTAAAAGTGCTGTACAAAGAAAAGCCAAAGTTTCTGGGCTGGGGGTTCTTGAAGGATCAAGTTACAGTCTTACATTTAGGGAAATCTCTATAAGAAAAATTCTTTTCTACGATAGTGTAACAGAGGAGGCAAGGATATGCTACCATTCACTTTTGTATTGGTGACTGGTAACAGAAGTGGTAGAATAGTTGAAGATTGAGTCGTTTGGTTAAATTAATTTTAGGCAATAATTTATTGTGTTACTTGGGACTTATCTTGACCCTTATTTCTTTTTTTTTTTTTTTTTTTATTTCACATACTAGGAGCAAAAATAGGACTGTCACATACTGTAGGAGTTTGTGTGAAAGTCATGACCAGGTTATGAGGCTAACTGTGCAGAGAAACATAATTAGGATGACTTTGATAAAGCACATAGACCTTTAGCTTAATGGGTGCTTCTGCTCCAAAAAGTCTCATTTACTTATGCAGTTTCGCTGCTGGCAACTTCTCATCAGGACTGGCACAAAGATATACATGAACTACTGGCTGAAAAGAGGGGGGAAAGAGCTATTTAAACAGGAAAAAAATACACAAAACCTTATATCACATGAAATTTTATGTTTGGGAAAGTCAGTATTTAAGATTTAAATGGTAACTGAGAAATTTGGTCAATATATGGAAAATATATACATGGTATCTATCACCTATCTATCTATCTGTAGGTAAAAATGGTTGTGAGTAAAAACTGCTCCACTACTACTTATTAAAGAACAGTCTGCTAAGTAGTAGTGGAGTAAAGTCCATGGAGGAAATACGAAAATCTAGCCATTGACTGGAACAGAATCAGACAGGGTATGCAGGCAGACAAATACTACGTTTCTAGTGTTTCAAGATAAGAACAAAGGTAGCATGTTTACACTACTAATCTTTGAACTGATGCCATGAATGACACTCGTTAATATATTTTGTTTATTTGAAGAAAATACATTTTGATTCTTCCATAGGAAATTAGGAGGCATATTAACAAGCAAGGAGAAAATCACAGCTGGCTGAAATCTAGACTTGCTGTTTTGACTGCATCATGTCCTGATTTGGAGGCCAAAAAGACAGAGGATGAGTTTTGTAAAATTTCCAGTGACTTCAAGGGACTCCTAGATTTGCTGACCGAGGTACAGTATGAGGGACACAAGAACTTTCCATTTACAGTGTCACGTGAAATGACATCAATCGTGGCTTCACAAGCATAAGTTCCCTGCTGTGTTTTTTTCATTAAACTGCAAGCATTCAGTAACAAAAAACTCATTTGTACTCCCATAGGGAAGCCTTGAGAGTAGTGGGCAAAATTACTGACATTTTTATAATGGATCTTTTCCCTTTGCAGGATTGGAAAGCATCATAGCAAATGTTTCTGGAATCAAAATATCACTATTTTTAAGGCAAAAGATAGTTTTCTAAAATCAGCTCTTAGTGAACATTGGCAAAACGGTGATGTACATCAGCTAGTAGATATAAAATTTGACTTTAATCTTCCTTTATGTATCTTTTATGCTTAAATAATAAACAAACTACTGTGAGGTAGTTCAATACATTGAGAATGTCTATCATGCATTGAATTTGCAGGAAAAGGCTGCAGTTCTGAGGTCTCAATGATAAGGAGATACTGTAATTGCTGAAATCATGGGAAGTTTTTAACTGATAAGCAAAACCTCTTAGAATCCACTGAACCCTTGAGTTCTGTGGGATCTCAGGGAACTTACTGCTTCACAGTTTTCACATAAAAAAGAAAGATCTGGAGAAATTCAGAACATCTTACACTCAGAAAGCGAACAGATCCATTTGAAAAAAGAGTTCAGGATAAAGAAAGAGTTCAGGCTTCAAATACCATTGTTAATGTGGATTCTTGTAGAGGTCTTGTAGGTGTTCCAAATGTATAAAAGTTCCATGTATTTATTGAAACTTCTCTAAACTTCTGTGGTGTGAAAAATGTGTTTGGAAAGTTGGGGAAACCAATGTTCTGATTTCTAAATGACTGCAAAAAAACCTAAGTTAATACCTCTTTTAAAAATTTTATTTTGTATTGAAGTACTTTTGCTTTTTGTTTCCTCCAAAAGTCAGAAGTAAGGGGAGCACAGGTTCATGAAGGTAAAAAAAGAAGATAAGAACTAGAATCTAAACTTGATTTGAATCTAAAACCATAATCTAAATGGCACTGTATACTATAGTTAAGAGACTGCTGATTCTTAGAAGTCTGAATACTCTTTACAGCTAAATATACAGCTTGTTAATCTGATGGCTGAGACTCTTTAGACAAGGACTGATACTGGGTATTTCCAGAGTTCAGTAGTGTTTTTTGGATAGTAAAGACTAAACATTTATATAACAGGAAGGAGAATGGCTTGAATCTGAATGACGCTCCAAAGTGAATATGGACTGGAAAGAAAGGAAGGAAAGGAAGTTTCTTCGTTCTAGAATGCTTTGATTAAAACCTTAAATCACAGGAACTGTCTGAGGAACAGAGCCTTTACTGAGAATCAGCTACAAGTAGTTAGCTGAATCATGCAAAGACGGAAGAACTTTGTGATGTGTTGAATCGATACATCTTTTTCTTTATAAAATTCTGCAAACTGAGACTGGATAGTGCACCACATGCGTATTGTGGTCCATCAGACCAGGGTGATGGGGTTTTTTAATGTATTTGTGATTTACCAGGGCATTGCTCTAGAAGGTCCAAAAGGCAACAAGAGTTTTTGTGAGTTGAGCAGCGCAAGTGTTTTGGAATCTGGGTCAGCCTGTAAGGGTGAGGACAGCGTGTATTTTCTAAGTGATCACCAATAAGCGGTTGTCACAGACAGCTATTTACCATATGGCAATGTAATAGAGAGTATGTTTAAACAAGACAAAGGTCTTCTCAGTCACATTTTAAGTCTGCAGTCACTCTTTCAATGTAAAGTTAAAATGTCTGTTAAGAATGCTGGAGACAAAAGTGGTTTGAATTTATACAATTTACTATATTTTTTGAAAAATATTCCAAATATAAATGTGCTCTTAAGATATAGATGTGCTTGACAACATGAAATACTTAGTTATCTATCATTGTAGATCGAAAAGACATTAGGCACTGTTGGAGACTGTGTCCAGTACAAAGAAGAAGTTAAATGTGCAATCGAAGAGTTAATCAACAACTCTAAAGAAGCCCAAGCAGAGGCTGAAAAGATCCTGGACACAGAAAGTTTATTACAAGCTCAGCAACTACTACTTCATCATCAGGTAGGGCAATTATTCATGTCCATATTCTTTTTTTTTTTTTTTTTAAGGTAGAATGTATGTAATTACTAAATTTTGCTATGCCCATTAACATAACTCTTTACATTTGAACTTGAAAGAGTTGTAAAGAAAATGGTCTCATATGGCCTAGTATTGATTTCTTATAATGAAAAAAGTAGTCAGTACTTTTTAAATGTTAATGTTCACAGATGAGCTTGTTTTTCAATTTTATTTAATATTCTTTAATTTCACATGGGTTTTTTGGGCACAGAACACCTGAAAACAAGGTTTCATTTACTTGAAATTTTGGGTAAGTGTACTCTGCAAATATGTAGTCTCTCTCTTTTTAACTTTTTTTAAAGTCTGCATATCAGATTTGATTGTGGTAAATTTGGCCTGATCCTGGTTTTGGAAATTTCTTGACTTCAGCAGCTTTGTTGTGGCCCCAACTCTAAATGCTGGAGGGGATGTGTACCTCTGGCCTCATCTCCTCCTCTAGGTAGCTACTGCAGTGGCAGATTGATGTCCAGTCTGTAGAACAGGAGGCTTTTTATGCACTGATAGTAGATCAAAACATCTGTGGGCTACAGTAATAAAACATATGGGTTGCATACAGCATGAATCATGGGTCTTAAGGCCAAATATGGGAAATTAACTTTGAGGCCTGTTCAAAGGTAAAAAGAATAAGAATGATTTACTGTCAATGTTTGGGCATTATGTAAATGCTTTATGTTAATATCTATTTCTGTAAGCTTATTTCTCTAAGCATGTCCTATTGTCTGACCAGGCACTACTATGTCTTATCTCTGTCTTATCTAAACTCTTTGGTGTTTGTAAAAACTATTGTATGTGTTAAGGTTCATATTTGTTCTTTCAATACTCTACATTCCTTATCAGTCATAGGAGAGGTAGTAGGAACAGTTGACTTCTTGAGTTCTCAGACTCTTCTTTTTATATGGAGTCTGTTAAGTTAAAACCAGACTTTGACAAAGACTTGAAGGTACTCAGAGTAGAATTGAGCAGGGAGCTGTGAGCTTACCTAGCAAGGCTGCCAATGGGACAGGCATTTTAGAAAAGGAGAAGGGATGTGGTCTTAGGAGTTTCTGATAGTGCTACAAAGCAAAATGCATCAAAGAAAGAGTTATGCAAATTGGCCATCCCCCTACTGCTCTCTAATGAAGGCTGATATATTGCTTTGATCAGTCTGAGGCTCCAACCTGTGCTCTATACACATTTTTGAACCCAAGTCATATACTTGATGAGTATATGAGATTCCCAATAATACCTGCCACAGTTAATCCCATTGTCTGTTATTCTCATTGCATACCCCTGCAAAAGCAGAAAGTGGTTTCATTGCGCCAGTTTCCCAAAGAAGCTAAACAGCCTAATTATTCCTGTTGGATGAATCCTTTTAGCAAAGGACAAGGAGACTCCGTGCAAAGAGGCAAGATGTGCAACAGCAGATTTCCCAAGCTAAACAGCTGCAGATTGAAGGTGGACTGCCCAGCACAATGCAAGAGGATTTACAAAAGTTGGAAGGAACATTGGAGAGCATGCAGCAGACTATGGAGAAGCGTGAAGAGCAACTGCAGGTGGGTCCTTTGAAAGAAGTAGAAATAAAAAAACTGTGCTTTCTTCTTCTTCTTTTTTTTTACTTGGTAAAAAAACAATTTTTTTAAATGTAAAGAGTCACTTTCTCACCTCTGAATCTTAGTCCTTGGGGTTTTCATGATCAGTACCTCCATGAAAACTTCTTGAAGCTGCTGGATACCTCTTAATTAATAAAGAAACAGCATTTTGTTTGAAGTGTTTAAAAGTCCCAACTGTTCAGTCATAACAGATATTTTAAATAATTTATCTGTGAATTAATTGTTAGATAGGCTGTCTCCCCTGGTTACTAAAGATGACATTGCCCTTTAATTGAGAGTCTTTAGGCTGGATGTTAGATTAATAACACCTCATGTTGTGCAAATATAATCCTTACAACTACTGTGTGAAATACATGTTGTCATCCTAAATTTAAAGAAAGAAGAAAAAAGTCACAGAGAAATCAAATGGATTGCTTGAGGTTGTATAACCAATCACTGACTGCAATGGGATTAGAATTTATAGCTTCTTGCACCCATATCTGAGTTGTCCTTTATATTTCTCTAAGCAGACGGGTAATCCAGCTGTCCGCTGTTTCACAGAATGTTTAAAGTGATCAAAACTATCTCCCATGATAAAACACAAGATGAAAAACATGATCGATAGAGCTCAAATAATTTCTTAATGTAAGAATTTATAATTGAAACCAATTTTTTTCTAAGGAATCCCATATATAAAGTCTTAACTCGGGCCTTGCTTTTCTTCAGAATCAAGAAAATATTTGCTTATACTGTCAAAATTCTTGTGACTGGTAATTAGATGCTGTATGTTAATCAAAATTTTACATTATCAGAAAAGAACAAATAGAATGCTATGTGTGTTTCCTATGAGTAGGGATTTTCTTCTGCCATTTTACTGTAATTTATTTCATTAGATCTTCAACATCCTTTTAGATATTGTTGACTACCTGTCACCATAAACATAAGTATCTGCATTTATTACTTCAGACTTCTTATAGGGCATTCAAATATAAGATTTAAATATTGCTGGCAACTTAGAGAAGCGCAGTATGAATCAGTGAAAATTCAAGGGAAAACTTTCCTTATATTGCGTTCAGAAGTTTCATCTGTAGAGTACATGGCATTTCAGGAGAAATTGATTTATTCTATGTCAGGTCTTTCTCTTTTTTTCCTTCTTCAGTAACTTACGATGAAATTCTTTTTTTCTCCTCTTTGATCTTTTTGTCTCTGTGTTCCTGTCTTGGGTTTGTTTGTTTGTTTTTGTAGGTCACAATAAATAAATGGGAGCAGTTTGAAAGGGACAAAGAAACAGTAGTAAAATACCTCAATCAAGCAAGCTCTGCACTTGAACGTATCTTAAACTTTAGCAGTTTAGAGAGCCTCTCCTCAGAACTGGATCAGACAAAGGTATTCACTGTGTGAAATACAGGAACTGAGGTATCTTTCTGCCTTGCTTTTTATGTGGTGAGCGTGTTGCCTTCAGTCTTTGCATGGTTTTCTGCTAATGCCTGTGCAAATTGCCTATACAGATTAGAGACTGCTTAAACTGTTTAGAGGTTAAAAGTTATTTTATGAAAAGATCGTGAAGAATTACTCAAAATCTGCATCTGAAGTGCACGTATGGAAGGTAAAATCATTTTGAGAACTTCCCATTTTATGCTCAGTTATCATTTATACCAGTAAGCTAAACAGTGTCAAGAACTAGCATAACACCAATAATGTGCTCTTTGGCAAGGTTATGTGGACTGTGCCAACTAGCGCTCTTTTAGCCCTGAGGAGAAAAAAGAGAGGCTTCTGTAATATGGACATAAGCCATAACATGCCACTTGCCCTTAGTAACAAGGAATTATCCTAGGCCGTTTTATTTACTAATACAGAAGTAATAGGAGTGATTTGCTTTCCTAAGTGCCATGCTTTTCATGGTGTTTTTACCCTTTGATGACTCTGATACTAAATTATACATATCTTGGTCATGCTAAGCTGCCATTTTTCTGGTGTATGGGTTTACCATTTGTGACAGCAAAGAGTTGTTAAACAAAGTGAGATTACAAGCTACAGGATACTGCAAAATCCTCTCTGTAAAGGGTAGGATCCAAAGATTAAATAAACATGCATATAGTCTTTGACAATTCACAAATAAATTTCTTGAAGCCCTATAGAATAAATTTTGATTGGTTGAGTTAAAAACTTTTGGACATATACTTTCCCTTGCTAAATTTTGTTCAAGCTAGTTTGCTCAAATGAACATTTCTTAAATGCAACATGAAAATAACTTTCCTCAGAGGTTATTTTTATGTATTTACACATTCAGAATTTACATATAGGACACAGATACTTTTTCTAACCACAAACATTGAGGAAAAATACTTTTTTGTGTAAATATATGAAACTGTTTATAGTTGTATTAATGTGTCTTGCATCCTTACAGGAACTTTCTAAACAGACTGAAGCAATGGCATTGCAGGCTGAGAATTTGGTGAAGAATTCTTCTGAGATACAGCTTGGTTCAAAGAACAAGCAGTCCCTTCAACAGCAGGCAAAATCAATCCAAGAACAAGTGAAAAAAGTGGAAGTTACTCTTGAAGAAGAGTATGTTCTTAACAAGTCCTAATATTTATTCTCCACTCTCAGATTGTATCAGATTTCTAGAACACCTTGTCAGTATTTTGTGTTGCCTCATCAGCTCCGTCACTTACAGCTTGCTGTGGCATAGTAACCAGGTTATAGTACCAAATATGTCAAAAGAGTGTGTGCAAATAAACAAAATATTTGTTTACTAAACATGGTTTATAAAGCCACTGTTAGTTACAGTTAACCTGTCACTTATCTTTAAGCCCCAGTCTTGTGAAGAAGGGATAATTAAACTCGTTCTTGAGGTACTAGACTCTTTTAGACAGAAAAATCTCAGTGCAAGTATGTGAACAGCACATTTACCATATTCGCCTCGGTTTTCAGTATTCCACTTTCTCCATAGGAATGTCAAGAAGTGCCTTCATCTTAGCTGAATGCCCAGATTTTATTCCATGGGCAATATCAAAAGCTGCTTCTGCTGCTGAAGATAACAAAGGCCAAATTTTATTTAAAAATTGAAAGTTCAAACTCCAAGAAAAAGGTGTTAAGTTCTGTAAATACGTGTAGCTTTTTGTATTTGTGTAAAAGTCTTATCCCTTTTCTAGAGTAACTCAGTTATTGTATTCACGTTACTCAACTGCAACTTCAGTTGTTGCTATTCTCAATTTATCTATATACACATACATTTATGTGTCTCTATGGAATTAGTATTTTTGCATATATTAGATCTGATACACAAGTCACAGACATATGTGCCAATTCTATGTTGTCTTATTGGAACTACTATGTAGAATAATTTGCTGTATAAGTTTAAGCAGGTACCGCCAGCTCCATCTGAACATGAGCAAAGGGCAATGCCCACATTATTGGGTCTTTTCCCCTATTGACCATTGTCATGTGAATCTGACTTTAATTTGGTGCCATTTTCTTCCTGATGTAAAAGAACAGTTGTAAAACAGAATAACTGGCCTCTGCAGCAGATGTAACTTTCTGATTATTGGTGGTCTGATGTTTTTACATAACACTTTCTGCAATATGAAGTATTACAGTGATTTGCAGTCAAATTCTACCATATCTTTCTTACTGAACACTTCACTGTATACATCGTTTTCCCCAATATTAGAGAGAAAACTAATGTGATTTTTCAATTTGAGAAAGTCATCCTTCCAACAATGAATAGTCACTTTTTTAATAATGATGTCATCTATTTTTAAATGAAAGCCATCACTGATATCCCCTTTCAATGTAGATATGAAATAGGTTTTAGTTGCATGTATGGATTGTACAGAGTGTCTGTGGTACCGTGACAGATAATAAAAAAATAAATCCCTTCTGCAAAACATGCAAATATATCCAACTCTCTATAGTGAATCTACAGAACATATAATCAGTTTGTAAGGGTTATTTTGTAACTTGCATCATCAATAAAAACCTTGGCCAAGTAATTTAAAGTGAAGGCATTCCAAATACATATGGTACATACTATGCCAATGAACCAGAAAGGGAAAGAAAAGTTTGAGCAACTCTCCATAGTCAGCTACAGAGCAAATTTAGCACATCTGTTTTCCCAAGAGATCATGCATAGCTGTGCCATATGTTTGGGACTACTATATTCTTTACAGTCTGTGTCTTTCTTACAACTGTAAAGAAGGCAGATACAAAGGTGAAGGATTTTCAACTGTTGTGCCACTGATTTGGTCCCTTGATTCTGATTTCCAGCTGTATTTTCTTGAGCCGGACTTGAGTGAAATATTTTTGCACTTTACTTTTCTGCAAACAACTTGAATTTGAATACACTCTTATCAATAAAAGGCTGTTGACATTGGTAATTTTTTTTCTATTTTGAAAATAAAAAAGTAAAAATAAAAAGGCCAATTTTTACGTTTTTAGACTACATCTTTTCTTAAAGTTTCCTCTAGCTTTAATGAGGGGGGAAAGAAGAAAATAAAACCAAACCTTTTTAACACGGAATGGTTTTTAAGGCTATATTTAAAAGGAAAATGTATTTTTGAATTTTGTAATATTCAAACTTTTCTGATGAAATTTTAATATTTTCAGAGAAATAGAAAATGCATGTTTTGCAAGCTGTGTGTACCTTAGCAGTGGTTTCTTTATGATGTTTTGAAAGGAGCAGAAACTTGTATACTGGAAGTTAACGCTGTTAGAACTTATAAGGGCCTTAGACTTCGTACCTGTGACAAAAAAGAGTGCTTCGTTTGCTATCCAATATACACAAGAATCATAATCTGCCTGTTTAACATACCTATAATGTATGTTTCAAAGAATATAAATCTATTAACTTTGAGGTAGTTGAGTCATATCTGTTTTGATTCTTTGGTTTGATATGAAATCATTGCCTCAGAAAACACAAACTTCCTATAAAATGGACAGATTGTTAAAAAAAAAAACCCCAATTTTAATAAAGCAGTCAAGCATTGCTGAATATATGTACATCCACAACACACTGGTTTTAATCATTCTGTTCTAGTGACTAAATACCTAACATCTATGCACTCATTTATCTCAATTTTTAGATATCTGATATAATCCTAATTCCATAGAATTTCATAGAAATCATATTTATGTTACTTTTCCTTTCTCTTCTTGCTATGATGAGATTCTTGATGAACAACCAATAAATGCAGCCGTACTCTATTTCACCTCTCAGTGTCCCCGCTATGGCTAATATAATTGTTTGACTTTGGGTGCAATCTAAGAGAGAACCACGTTTGAATTTAGGCCCACAACTTGGTCCTCTAAACCCAGGAATTTTTAAAATGACCCTCCTGTAGACTGAATAAATTACACTTTTATTCTAACAAGAATATGGGCAGCTTCATTATATTAAACTGTTTATTCTCTCTAATTAATTTGGTTAATTTTAGTATTAAAAGCATGGAAATGGTGAAAAACAAGTGGGATCATTTTGGCAATAATTTTGACGCTCTGTCCATCTGGATAGCTGAACAAGAAAAAGAACTGGAAACTTTGGAAACATCATCATCTCCTTTGGACATACAGATCAGCCAAATCAAGGTGATTAGTTCTTGTTATGTTTAGCATTAAAAGTCCATTTATCTGTCATTTTGCTGGAGGCCAAATGGGAGAACAGACATTTTACGTGTTTCAGAACTACTGTGATGTAATGATGGCACACTCTGTACACGAATATACCAAGCAGCAAGGTTTTGCATAAACTAAAGGAAAAACCATACAGGCTGCCTTCTCTGTTAGTGTTTACTTTACATATATGGAGCCTTTGTGTGTATGGTTAAAAATATTATTTAATTTATACTCTTCTTATTTTCTGAGTGTACAAAATAGCTACATAAATACAAGGTGTATAAAGCTTTTTTATTTTAAAACATACATCAGCTAGTGCATATAGGACTTGATTTTAATCTTGCAAGCTAAAGTTATAACTTGATTTATGTACCTTTTATGCTGAAATAATAAAGAAACTATTGCTCTTGGTAGCTTGCAAACCTACCTACCATTTATTGCTATTATATTTACACTGTCTTAAATTCTGTGTACATTCCTGTAGTTACATAGTGGTTTAGTTTCTTATTGCTGAGGTGCATATAGTCTCAAATCGTTGCATTTCAAGGGCTGACTTCATATCCTCCCACAAATGAAAATGTACCTTCGCTGAAATTGCATGTTTCTAAGGGGACAGAGTTTTTTCAGTATGCTGTGCACACTGCCAGTTTCTTTATTCTGTGACCTACTTGCTCTTCAGAAAGTGCCCAGGTGTGCAGCTGCTTGAAGTCATGGACCAGATTGACACTAAGTATTTCCAAAGGATCCCGTAAGGCATTTGTTTCATGTGACAGAAACAATTTATCAACAGCTTTTCCTGTTCTTAATTTGATCACAACTTTACGTACACCAAATAAATAAAATCTCTTGATTTCGTCATTGAAGGATAAAAGAATGCTTGAATTCTTGCTTCATTGCCACAGCAATTCAAAAACATTTTCCTTGTGAAATAATATATATGCATTTATTCTATCGGCATACACTGTCACGTAGCCATACTTTTCAGTAGTTACTAGATATGATTCAAATCTTTAAGACAGCAAGTAAGTGCATCAAACGATATTAATATTGCATTGCAATGTGACAACAGCTCTTGTCTGTCTGAATGGAGCCTAGTTAAGCACTACTAGTCCATTCAAGCCAATTTCCCAGAAAGGCTGTTCCTTGCTATATATGCAGATAAACAGTAATTTTTACAAGTTTTTGAAAATGCCAATATAAGCCTTCTTCATTTAAACATCATGACAGAAAGAAAATGGTCAGCAGGTAATTTTTATAAATGTCTGAGTGAACAGACATAAAGCAGAGAAAATCCTCCAGATAGATAAAGCCTGGGGTACCTCAATGTATAACTCAGATGAACAAACCAGCTTTATGAACTGTGATATGTGAAATGAGTCATCTAACCTCCAATACGTGGACATAGCTGGAGGTCATCTTCAGCAGCATTGCTTTCTGCCTGATTTTGAAGGACTTGTTATGGTTTGTTGCGAGCTTCCTGATGAGTTAGTCTGCGTCACAACGCCAATCAGCATACTTCCGAATTTCTAGTACAACATATTAGTAGCGAATATTGCACTATGAGGCAAATACACCCTCCAAAAATGGTGTGTTCCCTGATATCTTTGGCTGACCAGATAAAAACCCTGGGGTTAGCTGAATGTAATTATCACATGTAGTGGTAATATTCTACTTTTGGTGACATTGATTGCGAAACACCGATGACTTCAGCAGAGCCAGATTTTCACCTACGCATTTTTCTGAAATTCCTGGTGGACAAAATGACAGTTATCACAAGTAGCTACCATTGGTGGCAGACTCAGTGAGAGTTTGAAGGCCTCAATTATCCACCTTCTTTTATGTAACTGAGTGAATTTAACAGAATAGCGTGGGAGTAAAAAAGCGCTGCCTGATTTGTATCTACTGTATTGTTAGATAATTTCAGTTTCAGGGCCTCAAATCCGGTATTTTTCCTTAGCACCGTATTCTCATGCAAAAAAGATATTTTATAATCTGAATTAATTCAGAATATATTGCATAAAGAGACACTATAAATGCTTACAACACCACATTTTTTTTCTGTACTGTCACCCTGCTAATTCTAGAATCGGAATGTGACAGTAAGCCACTGCTGAGCTTTATAATGGCAAGGAAGATATCGTATTTTTATCGCAATTATAGCAGAAGGTGGGCACTTTCTATGCTTTTGAGAGTGCATTTGCAGGAAAGTTTTCGGTTGATGTCATATACTTGCATATCTTAACATTTTTATATCTGAGAATGCTATTGCCTATTTCGATGTCAAAGAGCGTTCTTGGCTCTTTTGATTCCCTCCCAATGAGTGTTCTTCACTGCTTTTGAGAAGAGCTCCATGGACATGTTCCATCAGCAGAAATTAAAAGAATTCTGTTGTGAAAATATATCTTATTTCCAAGTTCACCAATGCTTACTGAATAAATAGCCACTGAATGTGAAACTTCATAAGTTTCTGTCTTGGATGTTGTAGCTTTCAGATTTGCGTCTAATTTGCAATAAAAACAAGTGCAAAACGATGAGACAGTTGCTGTCATGCAGCTGATGAAATGTATAAGCCAGTGCTAGTTTGTCTTTATGCATTAACTCATTGATGTAGAAGACAGCTGAAAAGTACCAAAGGCCATTATCACTCTTGTTTCGTGGTTTCCTATTTATACAGTAATGTGGTTCTTTATTTAATCCTCTGCCTGAGGGCACACTCACCCTGCCTCATCATCTAATTTAATTTATTCTTTATTATACCATAGAATTTTAAATTAGAAAATGAAAACTGTCTCTATTGGTTTCCAAATCATACCATGTTTTATTTTGTAAGTGTTGGAAAACTTGTTGGAAAACAAGTAATCAACTGTCAGGGTTCAGCTCCTTAACAATATTGTTTTCAGTTATGCGCTTACTTTTTTTCATCTTGTATTTATTTTGAATCTTTAAGGGAATTGTGGAGTATTTGCTGTGAAGTAAGAGATGCTAAAATATTAACCATCTTGTCTGCTTATGAAAATATGCACCTCAGGCAATTCTAATTCCTCTTCATAGACACTGTTTTTAGGGCAGGCCATTTTTTTAAACCTTATCCAGTGCTAATTTCAAGAAGAAAAAGGGAATTTACAGGGCATATTAAAGACTTTTATAACTAGTTATTTCAAGTGGTCAATGAACTCTCCTCTTATTTACTTTTTAATTACGAATATTAGTGGCTCAGGTAAAAGAAGGAAGTAGAAAATATTATCCTTATAATTAAAAACCTATTGTGCTTCTTTATTTACCATTAATTTACATTTTAGGTTATTAATAAAGAAATAGATGGTAAAATAACTGGAATCTCAAAACTAGAAGAGGAAACCGAGTCTTTTTCCCAGTTTGTTACCTCTGGAGAATGTGCGCATATTAAAGCCAAACTGACTCAGGTCAAAAGGTATTGGGAAGAGCTAAGAGATCACGCACAGAGGCTGGAAGGAACAATCACAGGGAATGCATCAGCACAGCAGAAATACGAAGAAAGTCTCAAACAGGTAGACAATGCAAAATCGCATGGATTGTTTGCAGCAATGTATAGAATTACTCTTCATTTTTCTAAAATTGAATATAAAGAGCGTGTTGTAATAGGATGGACTAGAACATATGAATAGATTTGTGAAGTAATTGCAAAACCTCTGTACTTAAATTTGTGCTTTGAATGACTTAAAAGGCAGGTTCAGGAAGGCACTAAAATATGCGCACTCAAAAAATTATGCTGTCTTTTAGAAAACCTAAGTGATTCTCCTGGATATTGCACTAATTAAGTACACCCATACTTCTTATAAACACTTTAACTTCCATCTTGGGTGGTTAGTAGGTCATAGGGAAAATAATTTAAATATTGTTATTGCCCCAGCCACAAGGAGCTGAGCACAGTTAGAATCTTTTAGCTTCAAAAGGTACTCAGCACTACAAAAGCTTAGGATATCGTATTCTCTTAGCACTAAATAGTTAAAAGATGTTATTTAAAGCATCATTTATGTATTTCCTGCTGGTTTTAGAGTCTCTGGTTTGCTTTTTCTTCATAGGTGCAGCGGGCAGTGTCTGAATTTGAAGCTAAGCTAGCTGAGCCTCTCACATCATGCTCTTCTGCAGCAACAACATACGGGGCCCTTCAGGATTGCACGGTGAGCATGTGGCCACCGAGTCCCGGGAAGCGGTGCCACACCGACCTCCTCACAGAAACGCCACTAGCCTCCCGACCAGGGCTGCCTGGTGCCACGCAGCCCAGCGTGGAGGCAGGAGGAGGCAAGGGCTGCCCGTCGCGGTGGGCAGCCCCAGGGAAGGCTTAAGCAGGCTTCCTCAGCTATTTCTTCTCACCGTTTCAGACAGGCTTGGAGAGCTTTTTCCCTACTCTAGGGAAGGAAAGCCTAAAAGTATGAATTAATCCTTGAGGTTCTTGTTTTTAATTTTATGCATCTAAATCATTATGAAAAATAGAAGATAAGAAACATGTCTGTTTGTTAGACATTTTTCTTTGAAAATTTTCATGAAACTTGGGTCTTGGTACAGAGATCTGTGCTTGTTTTATTTTTTTAAAAAATCTCCTGGAAGCATTTTTTCTTGGACAATGCAGAGACTGCACACAGTTTCAACTGACAAACTTTCATCTGTGATGCCAGAAATCCATGGGTGTTTGGATGTTTGGTTCAGTTCATTACAAAAGGAAAACAAACACTGAATTGGTATTCAAACTATGAAAAATCCCAAATATTTGTGAATTTGGTTTGGCATTTTTGTCTGTGTCTGTAAGTTTGTGAGTGTTCTTCCCACAATAATCATTATCTTCCTTTCCAGGAAAACATTTTAAAAACTTTTAGTCATATTGTTCTTGCAGTAAAACGCATATAATTTTTTCTGAACTCTAGTGGTAACTACTTGCAAAGGCTATATGCAAGGAAGACATGGCCTGTCTGCTTAAAAAAGGCTTGATACTTGTTGAGGAAAAATATTTTGCATATGGAGAATTTGTTCAGACAACACATGTAATCACTGTTATTGGCTTTTAAACTTTATGAATATTGTTCATATTGTAAACTCTTGTGCTGCCTATGGGATCATGATGATTCAATGCCTTAATGTGAAATTATTTTTTTTTATTTAGTTTAGACTTCAGCAGCTTGTTGCTGTATAATTCACATCTCCTCCTACATACAATTTCTTTCATGACTGTAATTATAACCATTACTACTGTTATTATTGCACACCTCTGAGTTGCAACTTTAGTGGTCTTAAACCTATTTCATTTTGTGCTTTTCTACGTCATTGTAATACATTTCAATCATTTTAATTTGAACAAGTTTCCCAGCTCTCTAGAAATGGCCACACTAGAAAGTCTAGTCAACATCAGATGTTGTTTCTATGAAAAAGATCTTTAGCTAATGTGAAAGAAGTTCACAGTAACTGCTCCATACCTCTCTCATGTCATGGCATGGGCTACAAGTCTGGCAGTCCTCACATGCTGGAGTGAGCTTTTGTATTTACTGTTTATGTATAAATGAGAACAACTCTTAGATGTTAGGGAATTTGGAGCTTTGTCCTACATGATCATGCTGTGTCACATGCCCGTTCAGAAGATATGACCCTTTTGTTGCTGTTTTCTCTTTAACACTGTTCTTAGGAAAGTCTTTCCCCACTACAAGCTAGCTTGGGATGTGTGTCTAAGATAGATCTGAGTGAAATGTGAGCTCTGCAGTGGCTTCATGGTCTGGTGGATGTAGCATTGCTTCAAACTTTTACTCAAAGTACATCATTTTTGCCACTATCGTTACCATTGTTCTGCTGTTTCTGTATGTAACTTGTGTTTCTTTTACATGTTCATTAGGACCTTTGCCATACTGTGGAAAAACTGAGCAACGCTCTGGCTTCTCTCTCAGCCTGTGCCCGGAAGGTGGCCAATAAAGAAAAAGCTGCGCAGGAGGTTACAGCCTTACAGCGGAAATATGAAAAGGTGCTAGAAAATGCTAAAGAGAAGCAGACCTTATTAGAGACTCTTCTGGCACAGTGGCAGAAGTGAGTAGACTCGTACGTCTGTTATGATGGACACAGAGACCTTCCTGCGGTCAATGTGTGAGACTGAGGGGACAATTTGAGTTGGTAACTCTACGTTGTGATTCTTGTTAGGCAGGAGAAGGAGCTGTCTGCCTTCCTGACCTGGTTGGAGGGGTGTGAAGCTACAGCCAGGCCTTCAGAGCAGCATGTTTCTGCTGACAGAGTTAAATTGGAAGGTGAACTGCAGTCACTGCAGGTACGTTTCAACCGAAAGATTGTCCCCCTACATTTCCTGATTTGTTTCTGTGTCTTTTAAAGGATGGACTTATTCAACTGTAGTCTGACAAGTCACTTGATTCTGGGCTTTGGAAATGTCCTAGAGAAGTACTACATTATCGCTGCTGCTATTTATCAAAGACAATAAAATGAAAGGAAGAATGTTATTTACAAATATAATATGCCAGCTCAAGAAAAATAATGCCCTGTCAAGGAAATACATTGGTCTTCTTGCCAGAGGATCCTTTCTCTAGAGAAATTCCTTTGTTAGACAATGTTACTTTCCTTATTTTGCACAAGGAAAGTTGCTCAGATGACAAAATGCTCAAAGGTTTTGAATTCATAATGAAAGTCTGATTTCCAATTTTTTTTATTAAACACAAGACTTTCATCCTATTCTAAAGTATGCCTTCCCTTGGAATTTTTGCCATTTATTTTTAGGTTAATATGAAGCAGTTAGCTAAACGTAGCATCTTTTACACCCTCCATGAAGTCAGTGAATCCATAATTTTAGTTTTAAATATTACTGAAGAGAAGGAAAATTATTTTGAGTTTTCGTTTTTTGTTTGGGCCAATTTGCGACATTTCCTCACAATTCTATTGCTGCACACAAAATAAGTTGCAAAACTTACTCTTGATTTTAGCCACTTTCATCATACAGTAGAGCTGCATGGAAAGGTCTCACTTTGTCCTAAAGGAGAAAAAAAAACCTTTGATGAATCCTCACTGAATTACAGTTGCAGATTTAGCTGTCTGAGAGGTGTTGAGTACCTTCTTGTCCTCACAGACCTCAACTCCTCCAAGGATTTGACTTTGCTCATTCACTTGTCTCAAAGGGATGTACTGAAAATCTGATTTTTTATTAATTTTGTTATTTTGCATAATATGATGCCATATTTAATCTAAAGGCTGTACATTCCATTGTTTTCCCAGGATTTGCGAGCAGATATTGAGTCGCGTGCTTCAGTCTATGCGAGCCTATTACAGTTAAATGAGTCACTATTCCCAACAGCTTCCAAACAGTGTGTAAAAACAATGAAAGAAAAATTTGAAGATCTGGATGAGAGGTGGAAAGCTTTACCACAAACTGTTGATAAAAGGTTTGTGCTTCTGAACTTTTTTTACGTGTTAAATGAGAGTAACCAATATCCAGATAAGGAATCCCAATCCTGTAATAGTTTTTTGCAGTATTACTGTTAGGAAAACACAGGTTTAATGTACATATTGAACCCTGAGCTCCCAGGAATGGGGTGTGGGGAATCCCACAGATCTATCATGCAGTCTTTTTGGCATAATCTTTCCCTATTTTTTTCATAGAAGAGTTCTGTTTGAAGTGTAGGGCAGGAAATGAAGATAATGTTGCATTTCCCCAGTTACAATTTCCCAAGTAACTTCCTAAGTTACTTCCTAAATCTGTAATATCTGCTCTTCATTTTTTTCAGTTATATGCTTTATCTTGTACAAAGCCACACTATTATCTTTCAAAACGCACTTTGAAGTTTCCATTTGCCACAAATACTATAAATGCTCAATGTTAGGCTATGACTATGTTAGGCTGCTGGCTCATGTTAGACTCAGGAACAGTGCCTCCTTTTTTGAAACTGTATGTTATGATATATTTAGATTTCAATTGTTTTGGTGATGAACATACATATTTTACTATTTGTAAACGAGCTTAAATAATAGACCCTGGTCAATGACATCATCTTCTAGGTGCTTTATCAATCTGATTGTTTTACAATATAATGATTTTCTACATGGCATTTCATGTTCATTATTTCTAAGGGAAACAGGAAGGTAAATGACAAGGCCCTTTTTAATATCAAGGTTTAGAAGTTGAGTTCTGCTAGTTGCTGACTACTCCTCTGGACACATTCCTTGTTTGAATTGTATTCCTCTGAGCAGACTTGACCCTCACTTACTTCAGTGGAAGCTGAGTATGCAGTTACTTACCCCCTGCCTAAATTCATGAGACACCTTACATGCAGTGTTGCAGATGATAGGGCAAACAGAATTGCTACATCTGAAAACTGCAGTTTAGCTTCCATCAAAATCATTCTCTTTGCTGGGACTATGCCTGTGAAGAAAAGTAGAAGAACATACCTCCATTGCTTGGGGCACTTCTAACAGCTGATATGAATAGAACAGTTGGAAACATAAAAGACCCAAACTGGTGCTTTCAAGTGTTATGTTATTCCCCAGTTAAGAAATCAACATGGCAGTCATCACATTTGTTACATAAATTCATATTTCCTTCTTTCCTTCCACCCGGCATTGATTTTAATGCTGTCCAGTCAACTGTGGTTTTGATTATGGGAAGTAATTAATTTACATCAAGTGCTTTCATATTTACATCTGACATCCTATAGGATCAACTTCCTTCAATCTCTTGTTGCTGAGCATGGGCAGTTTGATGAGCTCCTGCTCAGGTTTTCAGACTGGATTAAGCAGTTTCTTGCTGAACTACAAGCCACTTCAGAGATAAACACAGCTGATCAACAACTAGCTGCATCTCACAATAAGGTAAACTTTTGGATGTAAATATTAAAGACAGAGAAATTGTACAGTGCATTCAGCTAAATATTCATCTAAAACTAGCATGAGGTCATTTATTTGTTTGAAACCTGATATGCTGTTGCAGTCACATACAGATTTCTGTTATTTGACCATTTTAAAGCAAAATTGTAACACCGAACTGTTCTTACTGAAAAGCCCTCAATAGTACTTGTTTTACTTGTAAGTTTAGTACTGAAATGTTTTCTGAGCTTTTGATTGGAAGAAGAAACCCAGCCCTATTTTCTTTCTTTCCCATAGAACCACTCAATGGAAGTCGAAATTAAGAAACAGCAGTTACAAAGTCTGAAGGACCATGTAGATAAATTGTGTTCTTTCTGCTGCCCAGAGGACCAGCAGACATTGCAGGGAAAGACTGAAGATTGCTTTCAGATCTTCCAGGAGGCAAGTCAAATAGTTTGCCAAAGACACGAAGCTCTGGATCAGCTACGGGTATTCCTGGAGCTCCATAGTGCTGCATCAGGAGTGCTCCACCAGCTGAGGCAGACAGTGGAAAAAACAGGAAATATGGATAAAGCTAAATCTGAATTATTGGAGAAGGAACTCAATGATGTTATTCAAGATCTTAACAAGCTAGAATCTGTTGCCATCAGTTTGGATGGTTCCCTTACTAAGGCCCAGTACCATCTGAAACACAGCATTTCTGAGCAGAGGACCTCCTGCAGGGCTGTGGTGGATAATCTGTGCTTGGAACTGGAGGCAGTTCAAAGCCTGCTGGGAACCAAACAGAGCGAGGCAGAAGCTCTTGGAGCCTTGCGAAGATCTTTCATAGAGCATAAAGAACAGCTACTGAAGAGTATTGAAGATACTGAGGAAAAGGCTGACGAGGAGGGCCTTAAGGAGGCAACACTACAAGCCCTCCAGCAAAGGTGAAAACAATAGTAATGCTTGCGATGATTGGCACTTCTTCATTTGCTTGCAGTCTCTAGACTTTTTATGATGCATTGGAGGCATGTGTGCATTTTCTACCTCAGTACCTTGTTTTCTGAGTCTATACATCTACAAAACAAAATTTTGTAAGTGAGCGAGTTGTTTGGACGGAGGGAGAACATGTGCAGAACACTTAGCCAGTCCTGTTAATCTTTTATATTGAAAGAACAATCAAGAAAGTCTTTGTCTTAGAAATTTATTTTGTCTGAATGGATCCAAGCTCTAAACAGCTATTAGAAATCCCATATAACATAACTATCTCTACTTTTACAGAATTGAAGACTGTACATGTGCTGAAGGAATTGAAAACACTTACTATGATAAAGTATTAATCTAAATATTTGAGTGTATTTCCAAGTCACTGTGTGAGGAGTAGGTATATCTATATAATTGTATAGCTGTATATGTATCAGAAAAATCATATTCTGAGCCCAGTTGTAGCAGAAAGAAATCCAGATAACACTGTTTTCTGAAAAGATATTGTATGAAATGTTAGAAAAAGGGAACTTTATGCACACTATCAGCAACTGTTTAATTCTTCCTTTCTCCTCTTTTCTCTTGCAAAAAAAATAAAGATAAGTAAATTTGAAACTTGCCTTTTAACTTGCAGATTGAGGATCTTTAACCAGTTAGATGAAGAATTGAATTCTCACCAGCATGAACTCCAGTGGCTGATGGACAAAGGAAAACAAATAGCCCAAAAAGATACTACGCTTGCTCCTGAGATCGACAAAGAGACAAATCACTTAGAAACTCTGTGGGAGGATACCAAGAAAGTTATACAAGAAAAGTAAGTAGATCTTAGACTTAAGGAGAGAAAGGAGAGGATTCTTTTAGTGGGGAAAAGAGACCAAGTTATTTACATTTAATATCTTCTTGCCATATTAATCCCAACCAAAAAAACAGGGTTTCTATGTTAAATACTGAGTAGAAGATAAAACTCAGTATAAACCAGGATATTTGTGTAAGTTGTAATTATACTAATAATAAAGCCACAGATAGGTCCTCAGGACAGTACTTACAGATATACTGGGCTTTTAGTTGCATGTTATTGTTTACTCTCCTGACAGATAAGAAATCTCCATTGAGATTTGACTATCACTCCAACTAGCACATACTCTCTTTCTAGCATGTATTTTCCTTCTCTACTGGATATGTGTTTCTGACAACCCTATACTCAGTGGTCCTCAATCATTCTTAGATTTAAGGCTTTCCGTCTGCCCAAGGGACCAGTGTCATAACAATCATTAGTGTATAATCAGTGATATAGGACAATTTTGTACATCAATGAAAGTTGATAAAGAAAGGAATTAAAGGAACTAAACTAAAGAAAGTTTCATCTTACCCTTTTCTTTATCTTAGATGCCTCTTCATCAACTTTAAAGAAAACTTCTTTAAATGTTCTTTTTTAAATTTGCATGGTAAAATTAAGCGCTAGAATCATTCAATACTGCATCATCCTCAATGTACATAAATTTTGTCTAAGTGCAGAAGCAGTTCTAAGCCTGGCTTCAATGAGCATATGCAATTTGGTGATCCCCATGTGACTGCTGGGTTGGAGTACTGGAATGATATTTTAAAAAAAAAATCATTTGTGCTGAAAAATGATTTTTTTTTCCCTTAGGTTTATATAGTGTAGTGTTATTCTATTCTCTTGATTAACACCATGCAGATATTTGTAAATATGCTGCTTCTTAACCATATCTGTGTATTATTTCCTTCTTGAAAATATGCACTGCTACATGAATTGCATTTCTGGTGTTTTTTTCCACCTGAATTCAGCCTGGTTTTCTAGTGCACTTTTAAAAGACTTATAAATTTGAAGTAAGTGGAAGAAAATGATAGCTTTGTTTAAAAATGTCCATCGCTCCTTTTTCTTCAGCACTGCTACTAATTTGTATCTCATGTTGCAAGCTGCTGCAACCCATTTTTCTTACCTCTAGAAGTCCTTAATAATAGTAAACAAAGTAATTTCCACATACATGTGCCAGAAGCTAGACAGTACCAGCCTAGTAGTGAAGAAAATGTAAAAGCTGTTCCTGCCTCATAGATGCATTATTGAGAGTAAATGAGTTGGCCAGTTTTCACGTATTGGGGTAGTTGTTGCCATCTTAATACCCAAAACTGAAAGATACTGGTTCTGTGATTCCTTTCTAACATAAAAATAATTCTAATTTTTGTTTAAATTAATAGTTTAATTTTAATTATTTTGAACTGTTCTCTCTCTCATATAGACAGAATTTTAGACCCTCCTGAACCTGATTATTTTGGAGAGCTCTGAGGAGCGTTCAGAGAAGTGCCAGCATCTAAAGTGATTACCTTTCTCGCCAATGTCATGTTTCCCAAATTCCTTTCATTGACAAACACTGTTCTACAACTAAACATATCCAAAGTATTAATCCTCCTTCTCTCTCTTCAGTATAAACACTGGGAATCGATTGAATAGTTTTCATTTTTTTCTTCTGTCCATTGCCTGAGCAGAAATAGGCTTTTCTGGAGAGGGGGTGGAAAAAAATGATTAGGCTTGTTCTTGGCAGGTTATTTTGTTCTCAGTAGAATGACAGGTAAATTGAATGTAATGCTTTAGACCCAAAAGCATGCATCTGACAGTTGGAGAACAAGATAGTCAGACTTATCTTGCATTGTTGTAATCTTTACTTCTGCTTCTTTTTACTCCCAGAAATACTCCATGTTAAAGAAACAAGTTAAAAGTTAAAAAAGTTAAAAAAATAAGTTTAAAAGTTAAAAAAAGAAGAACTGTGAGTGTTATTATAGTGTGGTTTCCAGCCAGAAAGATGCTAAACTTAGGAAGTGGGAAGCTTGAATTCCAGTTTCAGTCTTTTGCTCAAGTCAGTTGTTTCGATATCTGATACATATAAGATGGCGATTCATATACTGTCCCTTCAGTGAGATGTTTTGTGATGTATGGACCTACAGTGATTTGTAAAACCTAAATATTAATATTTCCTTGGCTGCCTGAAACATGTTTAGCACTGCATCCTGATTTTCCCGTGGTGAATCACTGTGTCACATTCTCTTTCCTTCAGAAACGTGACAGCAAATGGTGCTAACGCAGCCTTTTCACATTACAGAAAGGAGCAGTCCTGCATTCTTATCGATCTGATGAAGGAATATCAGAGCTTGAAGTCAACGGTAGTGAAAGTCATAGACAGTGCTGACAGTGCTTCTGTAATCAAATCCATTTGGAAGGATCATGAAGATCTTAGGCGAACTTTATCAAAGGTAATTACATGTATTTTCATTTGAGGGATTTAAATGATCTTTGATTTAGATGGATTTTTCTGTTTGAACAGTCCCCTTGAGCTGTGTTTAAAGTTCCTTGAATTTACTGTCAAATCTTGTCACACTGACATTCATGGTTGAAATTGTACTGATTCTGATGAGGAAAGAATATGGTCCTTTCAGCATTTTGGTGAGATCCATTAATGTGTGCTTGATTGTTGCTATTTATAATTTTAATACCTAGAAATGCAAAATATTAATTTATATGGAAAGCATAAGTTATCTGCTTTTTATATAAAACAGCTTGAGAATATATTCCTCTCATAGTATGAGGATATTTCCAGTCAACATAAACGTTTTTCCAAATTGGGTAATTTTTTTAATGAATAAAAGTCATTCATGTCCGTTCTAAGATACTTATTCTGTGGGGTGCAATGTTGAAACCAGGCATTGAGCAGAGATAAGGAATTTGGATCCCTGCATTCCATTTATTTCACTGGATCATGTTTCTAAAACTCTAAATTCTGCTATCCATCAGCCTGTCAGGAAAAACAGTTCTGAGTTAAATTCTTTCCATTCATCTGGACAGTAATTTCATTTGGAAGTCTATTGAGCTCTTCATTAAAAATTCTTCAGTCAGATCTGTATAAACCTCATTCTAAACTGTGTGTGTTTATGGCCTCTTTTTAATAGAGATTTTAACTAGAACTGAAAGCCAGAACAGAGCTCACCAGTCTAACAAATAAATGCGTGTAACTTCCACGTGATTCCTCCCCATAATGTGAACCCTGGGCTGTGGAGAATTCCCTGCTACAACAGTGACCACATGTAGGCCTGAAGGAGTCGGAGTCCAATAAATATTTTGCACAACTCCTACCATAATAAAGTAGGCAGGGCCACATGGCCACACCGCATCCCGATTAGCAGCTTATCTCTCATTCTGATCTGTAATACTTGTTAAAGAATAAAGTGTGACATGCTTACTGTGATCCTTTCTCAGTATGTTGTCACCTCTTCAGTGAAGTGTTTTAAAGATTTCCCTATGCCTAGAATTGCAAACTTAGTAGCCCTGAAGATTTTGTCTAATTCCTTTCTGAACACATTTGTACTTTCATTGTCCAGAATATCTAGGAGTGACAGGTTTTACAATTCTAAATTTTGTTTGCGGCACCCTCTGTTTACACTGCTGTAATTCCAGAACTGATTTTAGATACTAGTTAGTCAATGGTGGGGTCTTATTATTAAATTTTAGACATGAAGGGTCTGAAGAATAATCAAAAAAAATTGCCTTAAGTCATGAAGGTAGCTGGTTACCAAGTGGGGAAAATTCAGAATTTATTATTCCTACTTGTGTGCTTTATTTATAAGAACAATCATACTATTTGATTACGCTCATGAGAAAACCATGTCAGTTGCTCTGTATTTTGTGCCATAGTTAAATATTAGATGGTATGCTGAATGAGAATTATCAAATGCATAACATATATCACAGGGCTAGGGATGGGTGCCTGGAGAACTGGATTTTTCTTTCTTTCTTCAAGGCTTCATTAAACAAACAAATATTTATGTCCACAGCACGAAGCTGCCAAGAATGATCTGAGTGATAAACAAAAAGACCTGGATACTTTCACCAGTAAAGGAAAACATTTGTTAGCAGAATTGAAAAGGGTGCATAACTGCGACTCCACTGCGGTAAAAACAGACATGAACTGTATGGTGGACAAATGGCTAGATGTAAGAGTCTGGTGTTTCCATGCTGAATACAGTTTTAAAGTTGGGCTAAGGTTATAATATTAGTATTTTCTTAGGATCTTAGAGTGCAATTGTTTAGTAAAGTTTTCTCTGAAGCATATCTCAGAGGGCTAATCGTAGGTATTTGGCATCCATTGTACGCACAAAATTGTGACATCCCTTTCATAGATTTAAAACAATGTCTTATAACAATGTGTGAACCTTGCTAGTATAAATTTCCTCAGTGCACACTTCTGAGTATAAATTTGGGTTGGATTCTTACCTAATGTATGCCAGTATTACTTTATTAAAGTAAATTGGACTAAATAAATTAGGCAGTAAATTGTATTAAGCTACACCATAAAAGATGTGAATATGTTGAGAAAGTCAACATTATAGCAGAGAAACATAAAAGTTAATATTTTACTTTTTCATATTTATACAGCTATATTAGCAAATTCCTACAATAAGTAAAAAAGATAAATGTAGCTGGTTTTAAAGATAAAGTTTATTTGAACATAAAACTCTTATCCAGTAAAAAATTTACAAATTTTTAGAAATGGTCACATACGATTTCTGTTCATTTTATGATCTGGGTAACTAAATTGAAATTAAAATTCAGAACTTAGACCTAACTCTAAGGAAATTATTTGGCCTAGGCTTACTAATTATTTCTGATGCACTTGTCTTACAACTGGCTGCAAAATAAAGAAATCTAAAATTAATTTGTGAATGGTACTGATACAGTCTCATCTCCTAAAAGGTGTCTGAAAGAATCGACGACAACATCGACCGGCTGAGTGTAAGCGTGTCTCTATGGGACGACATCCTGAAAACTGGAGATGAAATGGATGGATGGTGCAATAAGTGCATTTCTCAACTGAATGAAGGCATCAGCAACTTGAGTAACAGTCAGAGAATGGAGGTCCTCCTGAAAGACTTCCAGGTGCTTTACGCAGAAACCATTGATAAAAATCTTCTGGACCGAGATCTCAAGTGCTATCAGGCACATAGATAAGGCTGCGCTAGTGTAGATCACTGTGTCCCCTGTTCAAGCAGTGGTACCACTAACCCAATGGCTAGCTGACAGCATTCCAGTCCTTTTCTGAAGTCGTTTGCTTCTGACAGAAACAAGAACGGCACCTCTCTTACTAAATCAAAGCTCCATAGTTATTTTGGCTCTAGCAATACATGACAAAGTGTTCTTACAAGCGCAAAAATTTCAAAAAGCATGGCATTGGCCTGAAAACTGTTCCAGTAGAAACTGATGGAAATTTTAGACAACTTCAGCTGAAGTTAAGCAAAAAATGAGTAGCTTCTAAAATCTCATCTAAGAAGGTAGATTCTCTAGATTAAAAAAAAAAAAAAAAAAAAGATACACCAGACTGGAGGGCAAATTTTAATGTCAGGTTCTAACAATTTCAGTAAGATGATGTCTTTCTTTACTGGATAGTATTAAACTGTTTTAGAAATCTAGCCAGTGTTCAGGATGCATTCTGCCTCTATTGGCTTAAAATATACAGCAGATCAACCACAGAATGAGCCATACTCTGCATCATTTGAAATAAATGCTGTCCTTAAGAAGAGGCTCAGTGAACATGTACAAGTAGTATGATAGGATATGAAATGGTGTTAAATTTGTATTTGGGTCAGGATAAGATTTATCTAATGTCTTTCTGATTAGTATAGCAATCAAACCACCTAAATTCATTGCTACTAAAATTGATTTGGAGTAAGAGCAGCCAGTGCTCAAACCACAGGTGTGCCTGATTCACGGGAGGGCCAGAACAGCAGAAGACATGAGCACTGTGCATACATTTGCAGTCACAGAATGTGTAGTTCATACTACTTTTTTTGCACTTTCTTTTGCAAAGACAAGAGGAAAGCCAGTTCACTGACAGAAGGGTCTTGCCATTTCAGCAATCAAAAATAGATGAGCATGGGCAGAAATAATCAGTGTACCTTTTATATGGTCCATAGCAGTGGACCCTTTCTTGATCAGTCACCTAATATTATATCCTCCCTAGCACAGAATACCCCCTGAGGATTCTTCTGGGGCCACTGAACTTCTACTATTCAGGCCAGATGTTAAGTGCAGCAATTTAATCCTGAAATCCACTATCCAATCTTTTAGTTAGACTGACCTGTTTGAATTTTTTAGAAAGAAGGTTTGGGTAATAGGCTACACACATCAATTACTTGCCTAATACTACAGAATTGCAATTATACAAATTATGAATGTCTCTTTCACTTTGCTATTACTTTTTTAATAAGTAGATTATTTCCTTAAAACTTGGATCTATATGACCACGATAAATACAAGGTCCAGATATGTCAGTGCATATATAGCAGCATTTTTTAATTCCCTTTTGAGGTTAAAATTTATTTCTGTGTCTAATTTTTTTCCGAGAGCTCCCTTCCTTGTAAAAAAAAAGAAACCCAGAAGGCACATTATTATAGTGTGCATGCCATTACATGGAACCTAACAACAACAGGAGATTTTTCCAGTCAAATAAACAATGACATTCCAATCTTTATTCAGCCAGTTTTAAGAAACTAAAGCTGTTAGACCATTTTAAATGCTAAAAATGTGTGTGGTTATTTTAATGGAGGGGGAAAAGTTTCCGAACTGAGCCTAATAAAGGAAAATAGATGGGAGATTTTTAGAGGCTAAAACTAATAAAACAACAGTGTTTTTCCTCTGGTTGCTAAAGTTTGTTTAGATGTTCTTTCATTTTTGCAATTGATGGAGCATCCTTCTGAAGGTCTAAAACCTTCTTGCGGTTTGGTATGAAACTTTGACATCTCTTTTACAGTCTGAAGTCAAGGATAAAGAACTGAAGTTGGAGGAGCTTCATTCCAAAATTTCAGATCTTAAAGAACTGACCCATAGCCAAGAGCCTCCTGCAGATCTCCAGGTAAAATAAAGATATTGATAATCACAGACTGTGCTCAAATAACTAAGAAGAAACTCCTCCTGAAATTTCTCTCTCTCCTGTACTGCCTTTTACTTTTAAGGTGACAGATACAGCATTATTTATATGTATCATAACTATTCTTTGTTCATATATTTTTAGTTTAGTTAACTTTGTTTTTTTCTGAAAAAAATATGCCATAGAGTAATTGAACATTAGAGTTGTAAAAGTATTTTTTACTAAATCGAAAGAGTAATAGTTTATAAGGTATCTGATCAGATATGAGACAGATGATATTCTCTACACTGCACAACATTAATCCACGTAATATGTGAGTGCATACACACTTTGCCTCTGAAAGAATTATAATGCAGTAAAATATGTTCATTTGCTTTATCAAAGCAAAAGCATTCTTTAGTGGACTGGAATTAGTGCCCTGAACTAGCTGTACAAGAGAGGGGTAAAATACGAACACTGAAGGTGAGCTGTTGAACTTTTGTTATTGGCTAGGTCCTTATTTTTTCTGTTCTAGGGCAGATGCCTATTTTGGATGTTTGATTTCAAATGGAAATTGTTATGTGAGATTATTCACTTTCAGTGTCACAAGTTTTAAAAGATAAGCTGACTGCTGACTTCTGTGATTTCCACAGGCAGGAAAATACATCAACAGATATTTATTTCAAAACCATTTATTAGATTTTAACAGAACTTATTATAACACTCAAGCCTTGTCCTTATCTCGCCATGACCATACACGTAAACCTAAATTACCAATCAGATATGGGTAAAGAACCCTATAGCATAAAGATGTTCAAATTATATGGAAGTGCTCATGTTCTCCCAAATTGTTTCCTTTACGTGAGAGGTTCCAAAAATTCAGGTTTAATCATATGTTTCATAATAAATATCTGTCCACTTACTTAGAGAGCAAAACTCAGAGCAAATTATTTTGCAGAATATCACTGTTAACCAACACGTACCTATTTGCAACTACTAAATATGATAAATACAATAAAAAATTTAAATCATACCTACAATAATTGTAGTTGATAAATGCAAATTTGAAAATAAAACCTCACAAACTAAACATAAATCCCCAAATTATTTGCCAACATTCAAATGCTAAATAAATAAACTACAGTATGATCAGCTCGTACCCTAAGAACATAAACAATTCCTTAATTGAATTTTCAGTAGCTACTTTTTATTAATAATATGTGCGCAGTTAACATCTACTATAATTTCACATATTACTGTCTTTGAAAAGGTTAATGGGCAATATTCTAACTTATTTTTGTATTCAATTTTAATCTGCCTTATACTGAAATACTTTAAGCCTCAGTGCTCTTAAGTGTCATGTGTTGGTTTTGTGTGGCAAGGTTTTG